GCCCCCAGTAAACCCAGCAAACCCAGCAGGCCCAAGACAGGCGAGCTGATGGCGCCCCCCACGCCGCAGCTCATACCGAGTGGGGCCCATCGATGACTTTGACGATGTCCTTGACGTGGATGTTGTTCTGCTCCGAGTCGAGGGCGACGGCGAAGCGGTTGTCCTTCTTCCTGGTGACAGCCTGGTGCCGCACTGTCACCACCTTCCCGTACATGTTCAGCACCTGCAGCCCACGGCGGGGGGGAGGCAAGGAGCTGGGAGGGAGGGGGCCTGCCCAAAACAGCCCCCTCCACGCCCCCGAGGCCGAAGCTGGGGAGGCATCTCCGGCACAGGGCTGCGTGCACGAGTCCCTCTCTCATCCCCTTCCCCAGCGGGGCACCCAAAAACACAGGAAAACAGAGAAAAAAAAACGTGGCTCCTTCCAGCATCGCGGCGGCCAGAGCTCACCTGGAAGGTCTCGCGCTCCAGGCGGACGATGACCCCCACGGTCTGGGGGTCCAGCTGCACCAGCTCGCCCCACTCGTGCTGCCCCCCGACGTCCACACCCGAGGCCGTCTCCGAGCAGAGCTGCAGGTCCCGTGGCAGAACCTTGAGCTGGCGGCAGGGCAAGGGTGGAGAAGAGGGGTGAGAGGCGGCCGCGGCGGCACCTTCCCCTCCTCCCCGGGCTGGGTTTTTCAAGCCCCGCGCTCACCTCGTGCATGGTGAGGTCAGAGAAGAGGATGACGAAGTTCTCCTCCACCCGAACAATGAGGCCCGTGTCGCCCTCGAAGCGCCCGGCGATCACCTTCACGTGGTCACCCATCTTGAAATACTTGCGCAGCTCCTGAGCTGGGAACTCCAGCATGTCCTAAAAGGGGGGGGGGGGGAAAGGAGAGAGGCGCAGGGGAGGAGGCCTGGCGTGGTCACGGCAACCCCCCTGAGGCCCCCAGAGCTGCAGACCGGGCTCTCTGCTACCTTCAGGTCCTCGTGTTTGGGCATGATGGTGATCTTGTTGCCGTCGACACTGAGGATTTTGCCCTGCAGGTTGATCAGCTCACCCTCGCACACCTCCACGTTGTCGCCGGGCTGGAAGTTGTGCTCGCGCTCCTTCCCTGGGAAGTTGAGGGACCAAGATGCTGCAGGGGGTACGGCGAGGAGTGGGGGGGCCCACGCTGAAAACCCCCCTTGCGTACCTGTGCTCTCCGTCACCACCTCCAAGTCAATGCCCTCGGGCTGGTCCTCGAACTTCTCCAGCTCTGACAGGGTGGGCTTCACGCCTTCCGTGATCTGCCACGGACAAAGCCGATGGCCAAAACACCCTCCTTCCCTCCCAAAACGCCCCCTGTTCCCTCCCAAAATGCCCCCCCTTCTCTCCCAAACTGCCCCTGCTCACCCGGGCAGCGCCGATGCCACACCGACAGCATCACAGCAGCACCATCCCCTCCCTCCTTACCCCTTTTCCCACCCGGCCCCCCGCCTCTGCATCGTGCCACGGGAAGGGAAGCAATCTGGGGTGAAAAGTGCCGGGTTTGGGTCTGGATTTAAAGCCAGGCCCACGCTCACCACAGCCGACATGGCGAAGCTCTTGAAGAGGAAGCCCTTGCGGCTGTAGCGGTTGCCTTCGAAGATGAGAAAGTCTCCGTCCGAGGCCACGTCACCTCCCAGGGAGCTGAGCCGAGATGGGGGCAAACAAAAAAAACAAAAAATAAAAAAGCCCCTCAGGGAAGGCAGCTCGCTGGGGGGGGGGGCGGGGGGGAGGCTTTTTTTTTTGGCCTCCCCTGCCCTTGAGAGGCACCTACCGGATCTTCTCAGCATCAAAAAGCCGCTGGGGGGGCCGCTTGAACTTCTTGCGCTTGGCAAACCAATCCTTCTGCAAGGGGGGGGGGGAGGGGGGCAGCGGGCTGAGCCAGCGGCCCCCCAGCACGGCGGCACAGCTCCCCCCCCAACCCCAAACCTACCAGGCTCATGCGGGCTTTGATGCGGTCGAAATCGATGCGGGGAATCATCTTGAGGGAGATCTGGTTCTGGCTGGGCTCCACGTAATCCACCTGCCCGCGGGGCGGGGGAGGCGGCGCTGAGCTGGGGCAGCACTAATTTCCCCCCCCCCCACCTCGTGTCCGTCCCCCCCCCAGCCTCACCTGGGCGATGTCGTCCTTGTAGATCCCCCGCTTGAGGCGCACCCAGGATTTGGGCTTGAGGTTGGTGACCTCCTTCACCACCTTCAGCACGTCGGTCATCTCCTTGATGGGCACCATCTGCTGGTTCCAGTAGCCCATGCGCAGGTTGCCCACGCCCTCGATCGCCTGCTTGACGTGCGTCTGCTTGTAGGCCTCCACGTAGATGTAGCCCTTGACGTGCTCGGGGGCCACCACCGACTTGATCTGCAGGGGCTGCGGGGCGAGGGGAAGGTCAAGAAAAAGGGGGAGGGGGCTGCAAGGACCCCTGCGGCTCCCCCCGCGCCGCCTCACCGTGTCGGTGAACTGGTAGGCGATGAATTTCCGCATCAGAGCGATGGCCGTGGCGCGCTCCTCGCCGATCTGGGGGGAAAAAGGGGGAAAAGGGGTTGCTTTAGGGTCAGGAAACCCCACTCTGAAACACTGCCCCCCACCCCAAAGCCCCCCGCCCAGCGCCTACCTTGCACTTCACAGTCCAGAGGTTGGGATCCCTGCACAGGGGCAAAGGGCAACCGTTATAGGGCGACTCGTCCTGGCCCTATAGAGTTAAATCCCCCCCCCGGACCCAATCCGCCCCTTTTTTTCCCCATAAACACGGCGTGTTTTATCTCCCAGCCCCTCGCCCAATGCTCACTTGACTCCCGGCAGCAGCTGCTGCTGCGTGATGTCATCCGAGAGCTCGTCGGAGCCACCATAAACGCTGAAAAAAAAACAAAAAAAAATGGGGAAAAAGAGAGAAAATATAAATTATAAAAGCAGGAGCCCTTCCTGCCGGCACGGGGCACGGCGCCGCGCCACTCACGTCTCTCCCACCGAGGACTTGGCGTATTTCTTCATGTAATACTCGCCCAGCTCCTCCTCCCGTTGATCCCTGCGGGGGAATAAAAGGCATCAGCGCGCTCCTGCAGCCCCTGGGGGGGTAAAAAGGGGGCTGTGGGGGGGGGGGACGGGGCTGTCGTCACCTCCAGAGGTTCTGCAAGCGCCGAGCGCCTGAGCGGTCCTCGTCCAGCACCACATTGTCGATGTTGGAAGCTGCGAGGAAGAGGAGGGTCGGGCCCGGCCCACGGGGGCTTGGTTGGCCCCGGGGGGGTGACGCCAGAGGCCGTGGGGGGGGGCTTGGGCTGACTCGAGCTTACCTTCGATCTCTTCTGCTCGGGAACAAGGAGGTGGCGGTGGAGGGCGGACAGTATGGAGCAAATAATAGCGGCAAAACCCCCCGCGGGGGGAGGGGGGGAACAAAGGGGAAGGAATAAAATTAAGACGGCGGCACAGAAGGGAAAGGAAACCACAAAGAAAAAGGAAGGAAAAATAATAATAAAAAATATGGCAAAGAAATAAAACCAGGCGGGTGCGGATGAGATGTGCTGAGCGGACAAATGGGGGGGATGGACGGACGGATGGAGGGAGGGAGGGAGGGAAGGAGGGAGGGAGGGAGGAGGAGGAGGGGAGGGAGCTGGGGCCCCGCCGTCCCTCCTGCCCTCGAGTGGTGGATTTGGGGAGAAAAAACGCGCCTGGAGGCAGGGAAAGAGGCAGAGCGGCCACGCAGCGCAGCCCAAAACCACGGGGTTTAGCCCCAAAAGAGCCGTGCCACCACTGGACCTCGTTTCCATCCTCTTCCTCCAGTCTCAAGAGCAGGGAGCGGAACAGAAGCAGCCCCAAAGCCTGAGGGGGGGCCCCGAAGCCACATGGGGAACCCCCAAAGCCCCGGGGGGGAGCCCCTCACCTTTCTCCAGGATGTCCTCGGCCCCATCCTCCCACTGGTCCTCGTCCTCGTACTCATCGTCGACGTCTGCGGGGGGGGAGCGGGGAGCTGAGTGGGGCCGGGGGGAGGCCGGCGGCGGCCCCTACCGCACCCAGCCCCCCTGCAGCTCACCGGCCTCGTCCAGGATGAAGCCCCCATGGCGGGGTTTTTTGGCCGGCCGGTCGTCATCTTCCTCCTCCTCCTCCTCGTCGTACTCCTCTTCCTCCTCCTCCTCCTCTGCCTCCTCCTTCTCGCTGCCAGCCGCGCTGGCGCGCTCCTCCTCGGCCTGTGCAACAATTTGGGGTTGGGAGGGGGTGGAAAAGAGGGTGAGAGCCAGCTGCACACCCCTAAACCCCACCCAGAACCCACCTAAAGCTGCCCCAAAACCTCCACAACACCATCCACATCCCCGACACCCCCCAAAACCCACTCAAGAACCCCCAAATTGCCCCCCCAACTCCCTAAAACCCCACAAACTCCCTGTAAACCCCCCACAATCTCCCCAACACCCCCCCAGAGCCTCCCAAATGCTCCCCACGGCGCCTAAAACCCCCACAACCCACCCTAAGGCCCCCTCCGAGCTCCCCCAACCCCCCCCAAAGCCCCAACCCCCCCCCCAGGCCCCAACCCCCCCCCCCAGGCCCTCCCCGGCCCGGAGCCTTCGGCCTCGCCTCGGCCTCCTCGGCCTCGCTGCTGCGCTCGCTCTCCTCCTCCGAGAAGTTGCTGTCGTCGCTGTCCGACATCGCGGCGCTGCAGGGGGGGGGGGCTGGGGGCGGCCCCCGCGGCCTCCTCCTCGTCAGGCCCCGGGAGCAGCCGCGGCCGCCGCCGTTTCCCTCCCGGTGAGGCCCCGCTTCCGGTCTGCGGCTTCCGCTTCCGGTTCGCGTTCCGCGGACACCGCCTCCTCTCGCGAGAGTTCGCCCCCCCGTCACGTGACCCGCTCCGCGGCCCGGAAGGGGAGGCCGTGACGTCAGCGTTGCGTCACTCGCGGCTCTTCCTTTTTTTTGGTTATTTATTTATTTTATTTATTTATTTATTTATAATTTTTCCGAGGAAACGGCCCCGGAAGGGCGTCCCGTGACGGCGAGAGAGGAAACGAGAGGCTTCGGTCACAGCTCAAGTGTTTATTTACCACCCCCCCACACACAAAAAACCCTAAAAACCCCATAAATACCCTAAAAAACTCCCCCCGCCCCCCTCCCCCCCAAAAAAATACAAATCCCATAAATACCCCAAAAACCCTCCCCACCCCCCAACAGGGCTGGGGGCAGCCCCAAGGCACCGACTATAAATAAATAAAGCCATAAATCGAGGGGGTGGGGCAGCCAGGACCCGCTGGCGACCCCCCCCCAATTAGCACCACTGAGACAAGCTCAGGGCGCGCCCCCCCCTTATGGGGGGGCTGCTACATCCAAAAAGTGCACGGGGGGGCTGAAAAGGGGGCTCCCCCTTCACCTGAGAGGCACAAAGGGTGCAGGGGGGGGGCTTCATAGCGGTGCCACCCCCCCCATAGAAAATCATGGGGTGGGGGCGCCCCCCCATAAAAGAGCAGGGGGTGGGGGCGCCCCCCCCCTTTTCATAGGGGGTTTCACTCCGCCACCGAGATGCGGTCAAACACCGGGAGGCGGCGGGGGCTGCCGGGGGGGGGCCCAGCGGCCGTCCCCCCCCCATCGGACAGCAGCAGCGGGGCCGGGGGGCCGTGGAGGAAGTGGCAGCGGGGGCCGTAGGGGCAGGAGCCGCAGCGCAGGAAGGTGCTGCAGGGCTGCGTGCGGTACTTGGGGTGGCGCCGGAGCCCCCGCAGCTCCCCGGGGCCGTGGGCGAATTGGCAGCGGGAGCCGTAACGGCAGCGGCCGGTGGCGGAGAAGGGGCGGCACAGCTCCGTCTTGTAGAGCAGCGACGGCGGCGAAGCGGGGGGCGACGGGGAAGCCTCCGGGGGGGCGAGCAGCGGTGTCGGTGGCAAGGAGGAGGAGGAGGAGGAGGAGGAAGGCAGGCGGTGAAGTGAGAGCGGCGGCGAGGGTCCCCCGGGGGTCAGCGGTGACGCCAACGGAGACGGCGGTGCCGATAACGGGGGCAGAGCCCCCCCCGCGGGCTCCAGGTCCGAGGTCAAGGTCAAGGCCGCCAGCAGCAGCTCCAGGCTGGCCCCCCCGGCCGGGCGGTTCAAGCCCGGGGGGGCTCCGTGGTGCCGGGGGGGGAAACCGGGCGGGGGGGGCACCGGGCGGCCGCTCGGGGCGCTGAGGGAACGCAGGAGGCGGCCCAGGTCCGGGGGGGGGCCCCAAGGAGAACGGGGAGGCCGGGGGGGCTCCGGGGATGGCGGGCGGGGGGACTGCGCACCGAAGAGAACCTGGGGACGAAGAAGAGGACACGGTTGGGGGGGGGGGCAGAGGTCTCCGGGGGGGTCCCAGGAGGGGTTTGGAGGTCCCGGAGGGGCCCGGTTGTACCGGGAGGGGGTCCCGGAAGCACCGGCCATACCCGCGGGGGCCCCAGAGGTCCCAGAGGTCCCGGCCGGACCGAGGGGGGGGCCGGGAGGGGGAATTGGAAGTCCCGGGGGGGCCGGGAGGGGAATCCCGGGGGGGTCCCGGTGGCACCGGGAGAGGAGTCCCAAGGGGGGGGGGTCCCGTACCTGGCGCAGCGGCTCCGGTGCAGGCCCGGTGGCGGCGGCGGCCATGGCAGCCCGGGATGGAGGTGGGGGGGGGATCTCCGGTACCGGCCGCTCGCCGCCGAGCTCCTTTTAAGGGCTCCCGTGACGTCAGCGGAGAGGGGGGCGTGGCCGGAAGCCGCCGGGGGGCGTGGCCATGAGCTCACCGGGCGGGGCCGGCGCCGGGTCACGCGCAGGGCGCGGCCCCGGCACGGGGAGAGGCGGTGACGTCATCGGGGAAACCCCGCCCACCTCGGAGGGGCGGGGCGGGGCCAGGGGGCGGGGCCGGGGCTGAGTCACGGTGCCGGGAACAGCGGGGGGGGGGGCCGGGGGGAGCCCCCCCCCACCCTTGGGTGGCCCCCGAATGGGCAGGGGAACCCCCCCCACGTGTATGGGGGTGCCCACCGTGTGGGTGACCCCCCACACATACCGGTGACCCCCCCCGACGTCTGGGTGGCCCCCCCCCAATTTGGCTGCCCCCCTACACGTGCCTGCCCCGCCCAAGCCCAAGCGACCCCCCCCACCTAGCCATGCCCCCCCTGACCTGGCTGCGACCCCCCCACACACACGTCTGGGTGTGGGTGACCCCCGTGCACATACCGGGGGTCACATACCATGACCCCCCCGACCCACCTGACGTCTGGGTGCCCCCCCCAGTTGGCTGCACCCCCCCCCAGTTTGCCTGCCCCCCCCAAACCCAAGCGACCCCTCCCCCCACCTAGCCATGCCCCCCTGCCCTGTCTGCAACCCCACACTCAGCAGTGACCCCCCCACATTTCATACCCCCCCCCTAAAAAAAAACCCTCACACATCCACCACATCCACCTTTATTCCCCCACACTGGGGGGGGGGAGGAGCTCCCTGACCCCTTTCCCCCCCACACACCCCGCTGCCCCCCCCCATCCCGTTTTTTCCACCCCCCCCCCACCCTCCCTAGGGCCCCCCCGGGGGGGGCAGTTTGCCGGTGATCTTGTTGGCCCCCTCCAGCAGGGCGTTGTGGATGTCCTTGGCGCCGGCGATCTGCGCCTTGATGAGGGGCAGGTACTGGGTGTAGGGGAGGCTCTCGCCCCCCCCCGCCGCCCCCCCTTCACCCTTGGGTGCCGCCGGCACCAGGGCCGGGGCGTGCTTGGCGCTGTCGAAGCTCTGTGAGAGGCACTCGTGGGCCAGGCGCTGGGGGGCGGGGAGAGGAGTTAATTGGGGGGGTGTCACCGGGGAGGGGGGGGCACCCCCAGGGACAAGGGGGTGGGAGGGGGTGAAGTGGGGATAGGGGGTGGAGGGGGGGCACTGAAGTGGGGGGGGACGGAAAGAGGGGGGGGGTCCCCGAGGTTGGGGGGGGTGGTGGAAGGGGGGGTGTGTCCCCGTGAGGTGGGGGGGGTGTCCCCAAGGTTTGGGGGGTGTCTCCAAGGTGGGGGGGTGTCCATGAGGAGGAAGGGGGGGGTGGCGGAAGGGGGGGGACACTCACGAGGCAGAGCTCGAGCTGGTCGCACAGGGCGTAGAACTCCTCCAGGCTCTTGTCGAAGCGCTGCAGGGCCCCGTCCGCGCTCTTCCTGCAGCGGGGGGGGGGGGACGCGGTCATTGTCACCCCCCCGGGGCCCCCCCCCACCCCCCAAGTGCCCCCACCTCCCCCAGTGTCCCCCCCGTCATCACCTGGGGGGCACTGGGGGGGCTGCGGTGGGAACTGGGAGGCGCTGGGACAGCGCAGGAGGGCGCTGAGGGGCTCTGGGGGGGGGGGTCGGGGAGGGTGAATTTTGGGGGGGTGTAACCGCCCCCCCCACTCACTGCCCGTTGTCGATGTTGGAGTTCTGCACCAGGTTCTGCGCCGCCACCTTCATCAGCGTCTGGGGGGGGCAAAAAGGGGCTGGGGGGGGCAAAAGGGGCTCCCCGGGGGCGGGGGGGGGAACCCCAGGACCCCCCCACACCCCCCCAGCCGGCACCGCCTCCCCCCTCCCCCCCCCTCCCTCCAGGAGCCCCGCTAAGCGCTGGCCACGCCCATTTCGGAGGGAGACCACGCCCCCTTTCGGCCGCCAGGCCACGCCCCCTCCCCTCGGCGCCAGGCCACGCCCTCCGTCTCCGCGAGGCCACGCCCCCTCCAGCCTGCAAGCCCCTCCCTCCCCAGAGCCAGGCCCCGCCCGTTTCGGCTCCGGACCACGCCCCTTTCGGCGGCAGGCCCCGCCCACCTGCAGGCTCTCCTTCAGCTGGGGGATGAGCAGCCGGAAGCGCTGCACGGGGTCGAAGTCCTGCGCCTGCGCAGCCGCCACCTGGGCCGGTAACGGCGGCCCGGGCCCCGCCCCCTGAGCCGGCCCCGCCCCCGGCGCGAGCGGCGGCGCAGGCGCGCTGGGAGGCCCCGGCCCGGGCCCCGGCGGCGGCGGCGGCTGCGGGGGAGCCGCCATGCTCCCGCCTCGCCTTCCGCTTCCTGCCGGGAAGTGACGTCACGGCGGGGGGGGCCTTCCCGGCGCGGCTGCCCGCGGCGCTGCCTGCGCAGGGCCGAGCCCCGCCATGGCGCCCACCATCCAGACGCAGGCGCAGCGGGAGGAGCCGGGCCACAGGTACGGCGCGCCCCCGTGACGTCACGGCCGTGACGTCAGCGCCGTGACGTCACGGGGGACCCCTCCGTGACGTCACTCCCCCTCCCCCCCCCCCACAGGCCCAGCTCCCACCGGACGCTGCCGGAGAGGTGGGGGAGGGGCTCCGGGAACACGGGGGGGGGGGAGGGGGCGGGGCCTGGGGGGGCCGGGGTCTGGGGGGGAGGGGCACAGGGTCTGGGGGGGTGCACGGGGGGGGGGAGGGGGTCCCATAGGGTCTGGGGGCCCAAAAGTGGCCTGGGGGGGGCCCTGAAGGGTCCTGGGGAGGGTCTCAGAGTTCTGGGGGGGGCTGGGGTCTCGGGGGGGGGCCCTGAAAGATCCTGGGGGGGGGGGGGTCTCAGGGTCCCGGGGGGGTCATGGGGTTCTAGGGGGATCCCCAAGGTCGGGGGGGTCTCAGGGTCTTGGGGGGGTTCTCCAGGGTTCTGGGAGGGGTCACAGGGTCCTAGGGGGGTCCCCAGGGTCCTAGGGGGGGCTTGGAGTCTCGGGGGGGGGCCCTGAAGGGTCCTGGGGGGGTCCTGGTTGGGGGGGGAGCTACGTTTGTGGGGGTGCTCTCAGGGTCCAGGGGAGGTCATGGGGTCTGAGGGCGGTCTCAGGGTCCGGGGGGGGATCCCCAGGGTGGGGGGGGGGTTCACAGGGTTCTGGGGGGGTCATAGGGTCCTGAGGGGGGGGGTCCTCAGGGTCGCGGCGCCCCCCCCGACCACGGTGCGCGCAGGTCGGGCGTGGTGTGCCGGGTGAAATACTGCAACAGCCTCCCCGACATCCCCTTCGACCCCAAGTTCATCACCTACCCCTTCGACCAGAACCGGTACGCACGGCTTGGGGGGGGGGGGGACGAACGGCTCCGGGGGTCACCGAAATAGGAGGGGGGGGTCACTGTGTGTGTCCCCCCCCCAGGTTCGTGCAGTACAAGGCCACGTCGCTGGAGAAGCAGCACAAGCACGACCTGCTGACCGAGCCCGACCTGGGCGTCACCATCGACCTCATCAACCCCGACACCTACCGCATCGACCCCAGCGGTGAGCCCGGCTTCCACCCCAAAAAAAGGGTGGTTTGGGTTTTTTTTTTTTTCTTTTTTGGGGTCACACGCACACAATGACCCCCCCCCCCCCCCCAATTTGTCTCCGTTCAGTGCTCCTGGACCCAGCGGATGAGAAGCTGCTGGAGGAGGAGATCCAAGCGCCCACCAGCTCTAAGAGGTAACGGGGACTGTGGGGGGGGGGCACCCAAATATTTTGGGCTTGGGAGGGGGGGGGGGCTACATCACCCCCTGTCCCCCCCCCAACCCCCCCCAGGTCACAGCAGCACGCCAAGGTGGTGCCATGGATGCGCAAGACCGAGTACATCTCCACCGAGTTCAACCGCTACGGCGTCTCCAACGAGAAGCCCGAGGTCAAGTGAGTCTGGGGGGGGGTCAGAAGGAGGGGGGGCGCACCCCCTGCCCCTCCCCGTGACCCCCCCACGCTGCTGTGCCCCCCCCCCCCCCCCCCCAAAAAAAGGATCGGCGTCTCGGTGAAGCAGCAGTTCACGGAGGAGGAGATCTACAAGGACCGCGACAGCCAAATCGCCGCCATCGAGAAAACTTTCGAGGACGCCCAGAAAGCGGTGGGGAATTGGGGGCTGGGGGGCACGGGGGGGTGGGGGGAGCACGTTGGGGACCCCCCCCCGGCATGGAATTTTTTGGGGCTGAGCCCCCCCCTCCCACTCCTCAGATCACGCAGCACTACAGCAAGCCCCGCGTCACCCCAGTGGAGGTGATGCCCGTGTTCCCCGACTTCAAGGTAGGGATTTATGGGGGGGAGGGAGAAAATTGAGGGGTGGGGGCAGCTTTATCGTGCCCCCCCCCTAAAAAAAAAAAATAAAATAGATGTGGATCAACCCCTGCGCCCAAGTCATCTTCGACTCGGATCCGGCGCCCAAGGACACGAGCGGCCCCGCGGCGCTGGAGATGATGTCCCAGGCCATGATCAGGTTTGGGGGGGGGGTCACAGCAAAGGGAGGGGGCGCAGAGCAAAGGGGGGGGGCACGCACAGAGCCCCCCCCACCCCCCCAGACCTGTTAACCCCTCGCTGCCCGCAGGGGGATGATGGACGAGGAGGGGAACCAGTTCGTGGCCTATTTCCTGCCGGTGGAGGAGACGCTGCGCAAGCGCAAGCGGGACCAGGAGGAGGAGATGGACTACGCCCCCGAGGATGTGTACGGGGGGGGGCCCACAGGGCTGGGGGGGCACCTTACAACACGGGGGGGGACCCTATAGAGCCCCCTCAGGGCTGTGACAGAGAAACCAAGGGTGAGCTGTGGATTTCTGGGGAGGCAGAAACCAAATTCGGGGGCGGTTTGGTGGCGGGGAGGTGGGTTTAAGGGAGGAGGGGGCTCCTACACCCCCCCCTTTATTTTTATTGCCCCCCCCCCCCCCAGGTACGACTACAAGATTGCTCGGGAGTACAACTGGAACGTGAAGAACAAAGCCAGCAAGGGCTACGAGGAGAATTACTTCTTCATCTTCCGCGAGGGCGATGGCGTCTACTACAACGAGCTGGAGACCAGGTGGGGGCCTGGGGGGGGGCCAGAAGGGGCCGGGACCCCCCCCCAAAAAAAAAAACAAACAACAAGGGAGGGGTCCTGACCCCCCCCGGGCTCCCCTCAGGGTGCGGCTGAGCAAGAGGCGGGCGCGGGCGGGGGTGCAGTCGGGCACCAACGCGGTGCTGGTGGTGAAACACCGCGACATGAACGAGAAGGAGCTGGAGGCACAGGTGAGCCCCCCCCCCGTGCAAAACAGCTTTTTGGGGACCCCCCCGGCCTTTTGGGGCACCCCCCTGGGGGAACTGAGACCCCCTGCCCTGGCAGGAGGCGCGGAGGGCGCAGCTGGAGAACCACGAGCCCGAGGAGGAGGAGGAGGAGGAGATGGAGGCTGAGAAGGAGGCACCTGGCTCCGGTAAGTGGGGGGGGCTTTTTTTTGGGGGGGGGGCCTCCTGCTACACTTCCCCTCCGATTTAATTGCCCCCCCCCCCCCCCCTCCTTTTCCAGACGAGGAGCGGGAGAAGGGCAGCGAGAGCGAAGGGGCCGGGAGCGGCGAGGAGGAGGAGGAGGCCGAAGGCTCCGGCGGGGCGGGGGGCGGCGGCGGCGGCAGCAGCAGCGAGCAGGGGGGGTCGGCACGGAGCGAGGACGAGGCCGAAGAGGAGGAAGAGGAGGAGGAGGAGGAGGAGGAGGAAGGCTCCGGAGGGGGCGGGGGGGCAACACGGCGGGGGGGGCAGCGCCGCCGCCCGCGCCGCCCGCGACCAGGAGGAGATTTTCGGCAGCGACGACGACGAGGAAGAGGAGGAGGAGGAAGAGGAGGAGGAGGAGGAGGAGGAAGAGTCAGAGGGGGGGGGCAGCGAGGGGGGGGGCACCCCCCCGCAGCCCCCGCCTCAGCCCCAGCGAGGCCTCAGAGGAGGAGGAGGAGGAGGAGGAGAGCGCGAGCGAGGCGTCCGACTCCTCCAGCGACTGAGTTTTGGGGGGAAAAACACCACTTTTGGGGGTGTTTTTTTTTTTTTTATTTTGTGGGGGGGGAAAAAAGCCCAAAAAAAAAGGCCAGTTTGGTTTTTTTTTGTTGTTTTTTTCTCTTTAATAACGTAGTCATGGTTACCAGCCATAGTCATAACAAAAGTTATTCATAATAAAATGTATCTAAAATAACGCTTCTATCTCCGGGGCCGCGGCGCTACAGGTACAAAGGGGGGGGGCACAGGGCAGGGGGGGCTGTACCGACCGGGGGGGGGCCCCCCCCCCTTCCCGGGGCATCGCCGTGTACCTAAAGCCTGGAGGGAGGGGGGGTCACCCCCACGCCAAACCCCACAAAAAACGGGCACCGAGGGGCTGTGCCCCCCCCCCAAAAAAAAAAAAAAAACAGGCACGGGGGGGGGGGGTTCCCCTCCCCAAAATGGGCATGGGGGGGAGGGGGGGGGCGTGGTGATGTGGAGACCCCCCCCCCTTCAATGTCTGTGTGTGTGTGCCCCCCCCCCTCCCAGCTTTGTGGTTTGGTTTTGCCAGGGGCAAATAATATTAATATTAGAATAATAATAATAATAAAGGAAAAAAAACAAAAAACAGGGAATTATTAAAAAAAAATTAAAGGAAACCCAGCCGGGAGAGCCCCCCCCCAGTCACGCAGCCCCTGTAGTGTTCACACGCAGCCCCCCCCCGGCAAAGTCATCGCCCCACCCCCCCCCCCGGGAGCCCCTCGGTTGCTTTATTTTTTGGGCGGGGGGGGGGCGCCCCTGATTTCCCCCCCACACACTCATAAAGATGCTCGGGGAAAGGTGGAGGAGGGGCAGGGGGGGTTGGGGGGGGCATGGTCACAGCGGGGGGGGGCAAAGAGGGGCGCGGAGCCCCCGCGGAGGGGGGGGCGGCGTCAGATGGTCGAGGTCTTGTCTGTGCCGTCTGCAGGGGGCAAACGGGGGGGTCAGGAGGGGAAGGAGGCTCTTCCCCCCCCTCCCTAGAAGCCCCCCCACCTAAAAAAATATAAACCCGTGCCCCCCCCGCCCCGGGCTCACCCCCCAGCGCGTGCTCCGTCATGCTCAGGCACAGCGACTCCAGGGTGGGGTTGATCTCCAGGTCGGTGCCGGGGAGGGGGCACTCTGCGAGGGGGGGCGGGGGCAGAAAAAAAATTTTAAAAAAAGGCTTTTAGGGTTAGGAGGGGCTCAGGGCTTTTTTTTTTTTTTTTTTGCCCCCCCCCCCCCTCAGACTTACCCTGAGGGAAGGCGAGCAGGGCCTGGGGCGAGGGGTGGACGGGCAGCGAGTGGGTGCGCTGCACCGCGCTGCGCCCCGCGGCCCCCCCGCTGCCGAACCACAGGCTCTGGGGGGGGGGGGGGAGAAATATTTTATTGGGGGGATGACAGGGGGGAGGAGACCCCCATCCCGGACCCAAAAAGCCCCCCCAAAAAGAGCCGGAGAAGAGCCCCCCAGCGCCCTGAGCACCCCCTGCCTTGTCCCTCAGTGCCCCCCCCCCCCAAAAAAAAACAAACTCCAAATTTCCCCAGGACACCCCCGCCATCCCTCTGCCTCCCCCCCCCAAATACCCCCCCACACCTCCCCCCTCATTAAAACCCTCCCAAGACCCCCCAAATCACCCCAACATTGGAGCCCCCCCCACCATCACCCCCCCCCAAAAATTACCCCAATATCAGACCCCCCCATCGCCCCCCCCCAAAATTACCCCAGTATCAGACCCCCCCCATCGCCCCCCACCCTCTAACCCCCCCCCAAACACCCTCCAACCCCCCCCCCCCCCCCCCCAAAAAAAAAATCCACACCCCCCCCCTCACCCACCTGGCGGCCCTGGGTGCCGAGGGGAGGGGGGGGGGCCGCCGAGGGGGGGTCGCGGGGCCGGGCCCCCCCCCGCAGGGCCCAGCAGCCCCAGGCGGGTGGGGGGCAGCGCGCGGGGGGGCAACGCAAAGGGGCGCTGCCCCCGCCGCCCCCCCGCCCCCCCCCCCACAGAGCCAGCTATGGGGAGCGAGTTGGAGCCGAAGGCCCAGCTGGGGGGGGGGGGCAAATAAAAAATAAAAGGGGGGGGGGTGAGGACAGCACCCCAAAATCCCCCCCCCCCCCCCCCCGTACACAAAGTGTTCTGGGGGGGGGGCCCAGGGTGGAAATGGGAGGGGGGGAAGGGAGAGGAGGGGGGCAGGGAAATGGCTGTAGAGCCCCCCCCTCCCCAAAAAAAAAAAATGGGGGGGAGGAAGGTAAGGGGGGTCCCTGGGGGCGTGGGGGGCATGGGAGGGGGGGAGCAGGGGGGGGGTCCCAGGCTCTGGGGGGGGTCCCAGGATCAGGGGGGGTCCCAAGATCTGGGGGAGGTCCAGGATCTGGGGGGGGGGGGCACAGAGGGGCAAATCCAGGCCTGAGGGCTCCCGAGGAGGGCAAACACAGCACCAAGGGGGACAAATTGGGGTACGGGGGGGGAGGAATAAATGAGGCCGGGGGGGTCAAAGGCTGCTCCCCCCCAACCTGGGGGGTGCCCGCGTGCCCCCCGTCCCCCCCCGCGCCCACCTACCCTTTGGGGGGGCGGTAGCCTGGGCCCTCGAGCGGCACCTTCTTGGGGAAGGCGCGGAGCAGCTTCAGGACCTGCTGCTTCCAGGAGAGGAGCCTCTTCTTCTGCGTCTCCGTGAACGCCTGGGGAGGGGGGGGGCAGCGTTTTTTGGGGGCCCCCACCCCCCCCAAAAAATAAAAATAAAAAAAGAAATCGAATCAATTTTAACCCCCCCCAGTTTCCCCTTACCTCGTGGCTCAGGCACTTCTCGAGGAGCTGGAGGTAACTGGTGATGTTCTCCTCGTCCGGCCGCGACACCAGCAGCTGGGTGCACACTTTGGGGGGGGTCAGGGCACCGTGGGGGCCCCCCCCCCAAAAAAAAAAAACACCCACACGGCCCCCCCCACAGCCTTACCTTTGCCCATCACCCGGGTGAATTGCCCCGGGATGTCCCCATCAGGAACCGGGGCCGCGGGGGCCTCGGGGTCAGCGGCCGGGTGGGGGGCGAAGGCGTCGGCGGCCCCCGGGGGGGCGGCGGCAGCGTCGGGGGGGGCGCCGGTGTTGGCAGGGGGGGCTGGGGGGGGGCCGGAAAGCCTTGATGGGCGTCACCATGATCTGCTGCAGCTCCTGCAGCGCCGTCCACAGGTTGCCCCCCTCCAGGATGTCCTGCGGAGTGGGGGTGGGGGGGGGGGTCACAAAAGGATCGGGGGGGGGGTCAGGTCTGCCCCCCCCCCCAACCCTGGGGGCAGCAGGGAGGGGGGTAGGGGCTCCCCCCGCACCTTCTCCAGCGCCTTGAGGACGCTCTGGCGCTCCCGCAGCTTCTGGATGCTGAGGGCGATCTTGTGCCGCGCGCCCTTGGTGACGTTCTGGGGGGGACACACACAAAAAAGGGACAGGTGGGGGCCGTCCCCAGCCTGTTTTTGGTGTGTTTCTTTTTATTTTTTTTGAGGGGGGGGCGCTGCTCACCTGCGACTCAAGGTGGTGCTCGGTCAGCGTCATCATCTCCTCGTAGGTCATCTGCGAGAAGAGCGCCGCGTACTTGTGCAGCCGCAGGCTCTTCAGCCACGAGGGGACATCTAGGAGGGGGGGGGGGCAGAAAGCAAGGTGATGCCTTGCTGGCCCCCCCCCCAAAACCTCCCAGGCCCCTCCAGGACCCCCCCTCTCCCCAAAAAACAAAACCTTTCATGCCGCTGCCGTCCTCCTGGAAGGTGTTGCGGCCGCCGGGGGGCTCCTCGGTCTGCTCGCTGCCCGACGAGGCCACGCTGCTCTGCGGCGACAGGGGGGCGTGCTCGCCGAAGGGGGGGCGAGGAGGAGGGGGGGGCCCCCCCGGCTCCTCGCCGCCCCCCCCCCCCAGGCCACTCGCCACCCCCTCCCTGGGGACTGCCGGGCACCAGCGACAGGGAGCGCTTCAGAGGGCTGGGGTGCAGCTGGCAGGGCAGCGCTGCGGGGAAGGGGGGTGGAAAAGTGGGGGTCAGCCCCATTTTCCGGCCCCCCCCCCCAAAGATTTCCAGCCCCCCCCCACACCTCCTGGTCCCCCCCAACCTGCTGTGCCCCCCCCCAACCTCCTGCGCCCCCTCCTTGTCCCCGCGCGTCCCCATTTTGGCCCCCCAGTGCCCCTCCCACTCCCTATGACCCCCCCCAATTCATCCCCGCTCCCCAAGACACACAAGTGACCCCCCCAACCCTCAGACATCCCCTCTGCCCCCCCCACACCCCCTCTGATGCCCCCCCAGCCCCTCAGACCCCCCAACAGCCCCCCACATCCCCCCCTTTTTTCCCTGCCCCCCCAGCCCCTCAGACAACCCCTGACCCCCCCACACCACCCTTGACCCCCCCACAATCCCTCTCATCCCCCCCACCCCCTCTGACCCCCCACACCCCCCTTGACCCCCCCACAATCCCTCTGCCCCCCCACACCCCCTCCGACCTCCCCCATACCCCTCTGACCCCCCGCAGCCCCTCTGAGCCCCCCCACCCCCCTCCAACCCACACCCACCCCCTTTTCCCCCTGACCCCCCCCCCCCCCCTCCCTCCACTCACCCGCGCCCCCCAGCCCATTCCCGCCACTGCCGGCGGCGGGGGGGGGGTGGAACGGGGGGGGGTGCCCGTTCTCCCGGGGGGCCGCCTCAGGCCACGGGGGCCCGATTTCGGGGGGCCCGTGCTCGGGCCAGTCGTGGGGGGCACGCCGGGGGGGCGGCGGGGGTGGGGGTGGCGGCGGGGGGGGGGGCGGAGGAGGGGCGGGAGGCGCGGCAGCGTCAGGGCGCAGGGGGGGCGCGGGGGGGGGCGCCGGCCAAACGCTCCTCCAGGTGGCCCAGCCACAGGGCCAGGGCGCTGCGGTCGTCCAGGGTGGTGGCCGGGTGGATGAGGGCGTAGGAGAGCAGCTGGCGGCTCTCCTCCACGCAGCGGTTGCTCTCGATGGCGTAGGCCAGCACCTTCTGCAGCCTCTTCATGTACTCGGCCTTGGCGGCGGCGTTGCCCGGCTGCAGGAGGGGGAGGTGGGCCAGCAGCAGGGCCACCGCCGCCTCCGCCGGCTCCTGGGGCCACTGGCTGATGGCGGCTGGCGGGGGGAGGAAAAAAAAGGGTGAAAACGGGGGGGGAGGCGGCGAGGGGAGGGGGCGAAAGGGGTGGGAGGGGAGGTGGGGTGCGGCAGAAGGGGCTGGGGGAGGAGGGAGGGGAGGAGAGGGGGAAGCGGGGGTGGAATTGGGGGGAGAAGGGCGCCAAAAAGTGGCAGGGGGGGGCTGGGGGAGGTTGGAGGGGGGTGGGGGTGCACAGCGAGGAGGAGGGATTGGGAAACGGAGGTAAAATCCTAAATTCTAAGGGACCCTGAAAGGGACCCTAGAAGGGACCCTAGAAGGGACCGAAACCTTAAAAGAAATCCTAAAAACCACGGGGAGCCCCCTTGGAGGGCCTTGTACATGAAGCACAGCCCCGAAGCCGTGCCCGAGCCCCGTGGGGGTAACCGGGGGCCGGTTTGAGGGGTGCAGGGCCCCGAAGTGGGGAGAAACGATTGGGAAACAGGGGTAAAATTGGGGTGAAAAACTCCCCAAAAAGCAGCAGGGGGGAACTGGGGCTGGTCGGAGGGGAGCGGGGAGGCCTGGTGGGGGCAGAAAGCATCCAGGAAAGGGGCAAAAACCACGGCGCAAACTAATTCCGGTGCCAATTAGGGTGCAAATGAATTCCGGTGCACGTTCCGGGGCCGCTCACCGGCGCTGTTGGCCTCGGCCTCCAGGAGGTGGATGTCGGCGCAGTCGGCCAGCGAGTGCTCGAGGCAGAGCTGCAGGAAGCGCGCCTGGGTGCGGGTGACGCGCTTGAGGAGCGAGAGCAGCGCCACGGTCTGCTCGCACTCGTTCCAAGCCTTGAACCAGCCGGCCACGATCCCCACCTGGTCCCGGAACATCATGGCTGGAGCCACCGGGATTGGGGGGAAGGGGGCGAGGCGGAACCGGCCGGGCCCCCCCTCCTTCACATGGCGCCGCGGGACGGCCCCGGGAAAAGCTCGGAAGCCCCCGGGGCCGGGGAGGGCATCGGGTGTGGGGGGGGGGGGGGGCGGGGGTTGTTGTGGGGGTGCCGAACGGCTGCGGCCGGGTCCCGGCGGCGTCGCCGTGAAGCCGCGAGAGCCCCGGAGGTGCCTGCGGAGAGAGGAGAGAGCGGCGGTTACCGGAGGAAGGGGTGGAAGAGGGGGGGGCACCGGGAATGGGGATGGGGACCCCCAAATGGGGAGTGGGACCACCCCCCCTGGGGAACGGAGACCCCGATCCCGACGGGAACGGGGACCGGGGACCCCCGGTTAGGCCCGGGGACCCCCCCCGGTGATCGCGGGGACCCCCGGGCCCAGGAAACGAGGGCCGGGGCCCCCCCGTTGGGCCCGGGCCCCCACCCCCGGTGAGCACGGGAACGCCCCCCGGTGGGAACGGGGAGCGGGGAACGGGGACCGGGACCCCCCCCCACAATCGGCGGGGGGCGGTCGAGAGCCGCGGGGGTCGCCCCGGGGGCCGCGGGGAGGGGCCCGGGGCCGGGGGAGGGGCGCGGGGCCGGGGCGCGGGGCCTAGGCCCGGGCCCGCCCTCACCGGGCCCGCACTCACCGCCGCCGCCGTCGCCGCCGCGTCAACGTCAACACGCACGCTGCGTCACCACGTCGTACCCCCCCACCCCTCCGCGCACGCGCCCCCCCTCCCTTTCCGGCATCACCCAATGGGAAGCGGCCGCCGCCTCGCCGCCCCGCCCCCGGCTTCCCGATTGGGCGAAGGGGTTGCCAATAAGGACCTGGGGCGGGGTTTAGCGGGGAGAGGCCACGCCCTCCCCGGTCGGGATAGCCCTGTGTGTGGCGGGGGGCGGAGTCTGCGAGGGGGCGTGGTCAGAGCGCGCGGGGTGGGCGTGGCTTGAGTGGGCGCGGCGGGGCCGGGCGGGGGCGTGGCCTCGCGGCGGGGGGCGTGGCCAGGAGGGGCGGAGCTCCGCAAGGGGGCGGAGCCTGGGGCCGGAGCGGAGCCGTCGCCCCGGTGCCGGTGTCCCCGCGCCCCCCCCCCCTCCTCCTCCCCCCCCCTCCCGGTTCCCTCCGGCCCCCTCCCAGGCCCCGGCTCCGCTGCAGGGGAACGGCCCCGCCCCGGCTGCGGCTCCGGGCACCGCCGAGACCCCCCCGCTACCGGCATCGCCCCCCCAGCACCGACATCGCCCCCCCGGCACCGGCATCGCCCCCCCGCTACCGGCATCCCCCCCCCCAAACCGCTACCGGCACCCCCCCTCCGGTACCGGCCCCCTCCTCGACACCAGCACTCCCCCCAGTACCGGATCCCCCCCCCCCCGGTACCGGATCCCCCCCCCCGGTACCGGAACCCCCCCCGGTGCCGCCCATGGGCCCCCGGTGGGGCGAGGCCTGAGCGGTTCCCAGTCGTCCCCCCCCCCCCCCCCCTCCCCGGGAGCCGCGATGGGAGCGGCCGTGGGCTGAGCCCCCTGCAGGTACCGGGGGGGGCACCGGGAGGGGGCGGCGGGGGGGGGAGGAGGGGAGAGGGAGGGGGGGATGGGCGGGACTGGGCCGGGCTGGGTGGGACTGGGGTGTGCTGGGATGTACTGGGATGTGCCAGGCCTTAGTGGGCCTTACTGGGATGTGTTGGGCCTTGCTGGGCCTTGCTGGGATGTACTGGGCCATACTGGGCTGTACTGGGCTGTGCTGGGCCTTACTGGGCCTTGCTGGGATGTACTGAGCTGTGCTGGGCTTTGCTGGGATGTACTGGGCCATACTGGGCTGTGCTGGGCTGTACTGGGCTGTGCTGGGATGTACTGGGCTATGCTGGGATTTACTGGGCTATACTGGGCCTTGCGGGGCTGTGGTAGGCTTTGCTAGGCTCTGCTGGGATATACCGGGCTGTACTGGGCACTGCTGGGCCTTACTGGGCTGTACTGAGCCTTACTGGGCTATACCGGGCCTTAATGGTCCTAACTGGGCTGTCCTGGGTGTGCTGAGCTTTACTGGGCTGTGCTGGGCTATACTGGGCCCTACTGGGCTGTGCTGAGCCTTACAGGGCTCTGCTGGGCTGTACTGGGCCTCGCTGAGCTATTCTGGGCCTTACTGGGCTGCACTGGGCTGTACTGGGCCTTACTGGGTGGTACTGGACTGTGTTGGGCTGTGCTGGGCCCTGTGGGGTTATACTGAGCCTTACTGGGCTGTGCTGGGCTCTGTTGGGCCTTACTGGGTGGTACTGGGATGTACTGGGCTGTTCTGGACCTTACTGGGTGGTACCGAGTTGGACTGGGATGCGTTGAGCTTTACTGGGTTTTACAGGTCTATACTGGGTTGTGCTGGACCTTACTGGGCTGTACTGGGTTGTCCTGGGCTGAGGCTGTGCTGAGCCTTACTGGGTTGTACTGGGCCATACCAGACTGTGCTGGCCTGTACTGGGTCATGCTGGGCTGTACTGGCCCACACTGGAACGTATTGGGTTGTACTGGGCTTTACTGGGCTTATACTGGGGCAGTTTATATTTGTGTGTGCAGGTCCGTCCTGGCCCCTTCTGGTTTGTACTGGGCTGTACTGGGCCATTCTGCACTATACTGGTTTGTGCTGGGTCATACTGGCCTATACTGGCTTATATTGGGTTGTGCTTGTCATGACTCTTACTGGGCCATACTGGGCTGGGCTCTACTGGGCCACGCTGGAATGTACCGGGCGTTGCTGAACTGCACTGGTTTGTACTGGGCTGTGCTGGGCCATACGAGGCTCTATTCCAGGCCTTACTGGGGCATACTAGGGTGTACAGAGCTGTGTTGGGCTGGACTGGTGTGTGCTGGTGCGTACTGGTCTGTACTGGCCCATCCCCTGTCCCTACAGGCCCTGCCGCGAGCCCCGGACGGGACCGAGATGGAGCCGTGAGAGGAGGTAACGGGGCCGGGGGGGGGCGCACGGGGGGTAATGGGGTCACACACGGGGCAATGGGGTCACGCGTGGGGTCGCACACGGGATCCCGGGGTCATACATGGGGTCACGCACGGCATCACAGCCCAGGACTGCACACAGGATCCTGGCGTTGTGCACGGGGTCAGGGGATCACACGGGATCAGGGGGTCACGCACGGGGTTGGGGGATCACACACGGGATCTCAGGATCATGGGGCTGCATGTGTGGGATCGGGGGATCAGACACGGGATCTCACAGGATCGTGGGCAGCACATGGAATTGGGGGATCACACACGGGATCGGGGGATAACATAGGAACACACGGGATCACGGGGTTGCAGGTGTGGGATCAGGGGATCACACGGGATCACACACGGTCACGGGGTCGCACATGGGATCAGGGGATCGCACAGGATCAGGGAATCAAACACGGGATCAGGGGGTCGCGCACGGGATCGGGGGCTCACCCTGCGGCCCGATCCTGCCCCCCCTGGCCCCATCCTGACCCTCCCGCCCCCCCCTCCGCCCCGCAGGCTCCGCCGCTCGCCCCCCGTCCGCCGCCCCCCGTCCCCGTCCCCCCGGCGCCGCCGGCGGAGGATGGCGAAGCTGCTGGTGCCGCTGGTGGTGCTGGGGGCGGTGGCGGGGGCCCAGCGCTGCCCCCCCCCGCTGCCTGTGCCCGGCGGCCGCCCCCAGCCCCACGCTGCTGTGCGCCCGCACGGGGCTGCTGGCGGTGCCCCCCAGCCTGGACCGCGGGGCGGTGGAGCTGCGGCTGGCTGACAACTTCATCGGGGCCGTGGGGCGCGCCGACTTCGCCAACATGAGCAGCCTGGTGCACCTCACCCTGTCCCGCAATGGGCTGCGGCGCCTGGCCCCCGGCGCCTTCGCCGACCTGCGCGCCCTGCGCGCCCTGCACCTGGACGGCAACCGGCTGCCGGCGCTCAGCGGGGCGCAGCTGCGGGGCCTGGCCAGCCTGCGGCACCTCATCCTGGCCAACAACCAGCTGGCCGCCATCGAGCCCGCCGCCTTCGCCGCCTTCGCCGCCACCGTGGAGGACCTGGACCTGTCGCACAACAACCTGCCGGCGCTGCCCTGGGAGGCGGTGGCCGGCATGGCCAGCCTGGCCACGCTGACGCTCGACCACAACCTGCTGGAGCGCGTCCCCGCCGGCGCCCTGGCCGGCTTGCCGCGCTTGGCCCGCTTGGACCTGACGGCCAACCGGCTGCGGGCGCTGCCGCCGGTGCCGGGCCCGCCGGGCCCCAGCTTGGCGGCGGGCGGCAACCCGCTGCACTGCAACTGCGAGCTGCTGTGGCTGCGGCGCCTGGCGCGGCCGGACGGGCTGGAGAGCTGCGCCTCGCCGCCGCCGCTCGCCGGCCGCCTGCTCTGGGCCGTGCCGGAGGAAGAGCTGGCGTGCCGAGCCCCCGCCATCGCCGGGGCGGCCGCCAGCCCGGCCGCCGTGCTGGAGGGGCAGCCGCTGCGCCTGGGCTGCGCCGCCGCCGGGGACCCGCCGCCGGCGCTGCACTGGTTGGGCCCTGACGGGCGGCTGGTGCAGAACGGCTCGCGGCGGGCGCTGGGGGCCGACGGCTCGCTGCAGCTGCGGGTGGCCACGCTGCGGGACCACGGCGCCTTCACCTGCGTGGCTTCCAACGCCGCCGGCGAGGCGGCCGCCCGCGTGCAGGTGGCCGTGCTGCCGCTGCCCGTGCCCCGGCGGGACGGGGAGGGCGAGGGCGAGGCGCAGCCCGGCCCCGAGCCCTCGGACATGGCCCGCGCCGGGGGCAACGAGTCGCGGCCGGCGGGCGAGCGGCGCATCGTGGCAGCCGAGCTGACGGCCTCCTCGGCGCGCATCCGCTGGCTGCCGCAGCGCCACGTGCCGGGGCTCCGCATGTTCCAGATCCAGTACAACAGCTCCCTCGACGACTCCCTCGTCTACAGGTGGGGGCCGCCGGGCGTTACGCGGGGCTGCTGGGCCTGGGGGGGCGGCTGCGGGGCGTGGGGGCTGAGGGCATTTGTCAGCGTTTCGTTTGGCAGCAGGCAGCGTTGCACGAGGCCACAGGGCGTTGCACGGGGCCGTGGGGTGTTGCATGGGGGTGCACGAGGCCGTGGGGCATTCCACGGCGTCACGCAAGGCTGTGGGGCTTTGCACAGGACCACGGGGCATTGCATGGGGTTGTGTGGGACTGTGAGATGTTGCAGGGCATTGCTCGGGGGTGCACAGGACCCTGTGGTGCTGCAGGGCGTTGCACAGGTCCATGAGATGTTGCAGGCCAGCGCGCAGCGCCCAGCACCACGCACACCCCCAGGGCGCTGCACCAGACCGCAGGGGTGCGCAGGGCTGCGATGGGGACCCCCCCACGCTCCCCAAACCCACCCAAATCCCCCCACCACCCCCCACAGGCTGCTGCCGCCCTCCAGCCGGAGCTTCGTGCTGCGGGACCTGGCGGCGGGGCGCGAGTACGACCTCTGCGTCTCGGCGCTCTACGCCGAAGGCTCGGCCGCGCCGCCCGCCACCCGCGCCCTGGGCTGCGTCCGCTTTGCCACGGCCGGGGGGAGCCCCGGCTGCGCCGCCCCCCGGCCCCATTTCCTGGGGGGCACCGTCATCATCGTCATCGGTGCTGCCATCGCCGCCTCCGTCCTCGTCTTCATCCTCATCCTCACCGCCCGCTACAAGGCCGCCCGCCGCCTGCCCGCCGCCAACGTCGCCAGCGTCTGCTCGCAGACCAACGGCACCCACAGAGCCCCCGAGCCGGAACCGCCGCCCCCGCCGCTGCCCCCGCCGTCGGCCCCCCCAGCACCTCCGGTACTGGCACCCTTGGGTGCTCCCGGGGGTGCGCGGGGGCTTTTTCCCAGCCACAGCTACCCGCGGCGCGCCCGGACTCGGCGGCACGGCTCCCTGCCCCGCCTCGACGCGCCCGACGCCCTCCCCACCCTGCGCCCGTCCTTCGGCAGCACCCACTGGATGCTGGAGAGCACCGTCTAAAAGGGGGGGGGGCTGAGGAGGGGAGGGCAGCACCCTAGGGTGCTCGAATGCAACCCCAGGTGCTCCCGGGCACCTTTGGGTGCCCAACTGGGTGCTTGAATGTGGCGCCTGGGGTGCTCCTGAGCACCCTTGGGTGTCCCCTGGGTGCTTGGATGCAGCCCCAGGTGCCGCCGAGCACCCTTGGGTGCCAGCACACGGCCCCCTTCCCCCCCCCCCCCAACCTGCCCCCACCCCGAGAGCCCAAACGCAGCTGGCAGTGCCCGCACCCCCCCTTGGATGCGTCCCTGCAGCCCCCCAGCACCCTTGGGTGCTGCTCGGGGGGGGGGGGGGGGGGGAGGGCAGAGGGCCCCCACCTGCATCCGTGGGCCTCCCACGCGCTCCCCTCATTGGTGTCCTTGTGCCCCCCCCCCCCCCCCTTTCCTCACCGCCCCCCCCCCGGGGTTGGGGGCACCCGTATGCAACCCGGCGCCCACGCGAGTGCGCCCTGCCCCCCCCCACACCTTTACACCCCCCCCCCCCTCCCCAAATCCCATCCGTGTCCCTCCCCCCCCGCACCCCCCCCCCCCCGCGGTGCCTTTGGCCGGGCGGCGGTGGCGGGGGGGCCCCGCACACGCCACTGACATGTCTGCACAGATGACACGAGACCCGCAGCCCCCCCCCCCCCTTTCTATCTGGCTGGTCTGGATAAACCCGCGGGGGTCGGGCCCCCCCCGCAAATACCCCCCCCCCCTCAGCCCTATTTACCCCCCCCCCAAAAAAAAAAAGCCTCTTCAATTTGCCCCACCCAAACCCTATTTGCCCCCCACAGCCCTATTTGTCCCCCCCCCACCCCCACCCACCAGCCGCCCCCCTCCTCCCCGCCCCCCCCGGGCCCCCCCCCCCGGCCCGCCGCAGTGTTTAACACAAGTTTTTACATTAAAAACCTGTGCCCCCCCCGCCCGGGGCCATTAAAACCTTTTGTGTGCGAAGCGGGAGCCGCTCTTCTGTAGGGGGGGGCGGGTACGAGGTGCTAAAAAATGCCCCCCCCTCACCCAGCTGGGGTGGATTCGGGGACATTTGGGGACATTTTGGGGTGTGGGGACACCTGGGGCCTGACCTGGCCTTGTGCCCCCCCCTCCCCGTGCGTCAGCAGCCCCAAGGGCCCGGCCTTGTGTGTGCCCCCCCCGGGTCCCCACGGCTGGGAAGGGCCCAGCTGGACCCAGTGTGGGGGGGGGGGGGGACGGGACACAAAACCTGTTGGAAAGGGGGGTGGGGGAGGACACCTGGGGACTTTTTGGGAAGGGGGGGCACAGCTGGGGCCCTTCCCAGGGCTGCTGGGGCCTGGGGCAGGTGGGGCCGTTCCCAGGGAGGGGCCCGTGTTTTGGGGGGGGGGGCGCCTTGGGGCGATAAATGGGGGCGGCGGCGGGGCCGGGGCCGAGCAGCGATGGCGGTGCCGGTGCTGGTGGCGGTGCTGGCGGCGGTGCTGGCGGGGGCCGGGGCCCAGTGCCCGACGGCGTCCGACCTGCGGGGGGTGAACGGCACCCGGGTGTGCGCCGAGCTCTTCACCGACGACAGCCCCTACTACGACCAGTGCTGCGGGGGCAAATCGCTGGTGGTGGAGTGCGGCGCCGACGCGCCCTACGTGCCCTGGGAGTGGTCGGGCAGCGTCTCCTCGCTGGTGGTGGGGCCCCGCTGCCAGCTGACCGTCTGGTCGCTGCCCGGCAAGCACGGCAAGATGAAGAGGTTCGGGGCGGGAGCGGTGCCGCGGCTGCAGGAGGTGCGGCGGGGGCTCTTCGGGAACTGGAACAACGCCATCCGCGGGTACTACTGCCAGTGCAACTGAGGGGGCGGCGCGGGGCAGCAACGCGGGGCAACGCTGGCCAACGCGCGCCAAGAGTCAACGAGAGCCACCACACCTCAAGCGGAGTCCACACAAGTCAGCGTTGGCCACCAAACATCAGCGTGAGGCTACACGAGTCACCAGTGGCCACCGCGCATCACCACGAGTCAACGCTGGCCAACGTGAGTCAACACGAGTCAACGCGGGTCAACGCTGGCCAACGTGAGTCAACACGAGTCAAGGCAAGTCAACGCTGGCCAACGCTGATGGAGGTGGGCTGCCCCAGCTGCCCAGACCCCCCCAAGCCCCCCGCCCTCTTCCAGCTCTCGGCACAGCCAATAAAGCCCTGAGGATGTGCAGCTCCAGCCTGGCAGGTGCTTTATTGGGGAGGGGATGTGGGGTGGGGGGCGCAGTGGCAGCTTTTAGGGTCCCCATGGGCACCCCCCCCCCCCAATATTACCTCCTTGTCCCCAAGCAGGGAGCCGGTGGCTGCAGGGCCCCCCCACACACCGTGACCGTGTCCCCTGCCCGCAGCCCTCCCCCCTCCCCCAAAAAAGCACAGAGGGGGGGACACGGCGCTCTCCAAAAGGACACGTGTAATCTCCAGGGGGCCCCGCGGCGGCCCTGGGGCTCCCCCATCCTGCGGCATTACAAAACGACAATATAAATAGCTGTAGTTAAAAAAAAAAAAAAAAAAGAACAAAAACAAACAAAAAAAGTGTTGGGGTGGAGGGGGGGGCCCCAAATCAGTAGTGTGGCCGCGGGGCTGTAGTGTTGGGGCTGCAGGGACACGTCCCTCCCACGGGGGGGGTGCAGGTGGCCTGACCCCCCTGATGGGGACAGAGAGAGAATTTAAAAGGAAAAAAAGAAAAGGGGGGGGGGTGTTGAGATGCCCCAAAAGGCCCCCCCCGGGGTGGGAACGACACAGGGGCTTGGTGAGGTTGGGATAAGCCCCCGGCCCCACAAACCTGCAGGGAAAAGGGGGACGAGGCCAGCACCACGGCCTTGCCCCTCCCCACACGCCCCCCCGCCCCCCCGACTCAGTAGTACGGTGTGGGAGGGCCAGGCCCCCCCCGGCTGCCCCCCAGTCCCCCCCAGTAGTGGCACAGTCACAAATCCAGTTCGAGGCGAGAGCCAGGAGGGGGCCGGGGCGGCCGGCGGCCCCTCACCGCATGCGGTTCTGGCGCATGAGGGGCACGATGCAGGAGGGGGGGCCCGCCTTGCCCAGGAAGGGGTGCTTCAAGAGTTCGTTGGCCGTGGCCCGCTGCACCGGGTCCCGCACCAGCATGCGGTCCAGGAAGCCTTTGAGAGAGGGGGAAACCTGCAGGGATAAAGCCGGGGGGGTCGTCAGGGGGAGGGGAAGCAGCCTGGGGGTGTCCCCGGCCCGGCCGCCCCTTTCTTGGCTTTACCTTGTGCATGTTTTTGAGCTTGGGGGGCAGATTGTCCCGGATCATCTTCATGGCCTTCAGGGGCGGCTCGTTGAAGTACGGCGGCTCCCCGTCCACCATCTCGATGACCATCACGCCCAGGGACCAGATATCCACCTGCGGGCAGGAGGAGGGGAGCGTGAGGGGGGTTCTTTTGGGATAACAGCCCCCCCCCAAGCCCCAGAGCCACCCCCCTGACCCCTCGGGCTCACCTCGGGGCCGTAGGGCAAGCGGGAGATGAGCTCCGGCGCCATCCAGTACGGGGTCCCCACCAGCGACTTGCGCCGCGGCACCTCCTTGTTCACTTGGGCGCAAAACCCAAAATCGGAGAGTTTCACCTGGAGGCCGGGGAGGGCAGCGGTGAGAACGGCCCCAGCCCCATTTCAGCCTGGGGGGGAGGACACGGGACGTGCTGCTCCTGCCCCCGTGGAAATCTTTTGCTGTTTTCTGGGATTGACCCCATCCCGGGGGGGATTTCAGGTGTGTCACAGCCCCGCTCCCACCCCAAAATCGCCTCTCGCAGGCTCCCAGCTCACATCCCTACCACAAAAAGCCCTGAAAAGCCCCAAAAACGCCTCCGCTGCCGCCTACCCGGCCGTCGTGCGTCAGCAGGATGGAGTCGCTCTTGATGTCGCGGTGGATGACGCCCTGCGCGTGCAGGACCGACAGGGCCTTGAGCACGGCCAGGCAGACGGCCGCGATCTGCTCCTCGTTCATCCTGCGGGGGGGAGGAAAAAGGGGGGTGAGAGGACAAGGAGACACCCCCAGGGCTTGGGGGAGGGTCCGGGGGGGTCCGGGACCCACCTGGTGTGCGTGACGATGTCGGTGAGCGCGCCGCCCTCCAGGAACTCCATCACCACCCAGAGCTCGTCGCCCACCAGGTAGCTGTTGTACATCTCCACCACGTTCTCGTGCTGGTAATCCCGCATGATCACCACCTGCCGAGGGAGCAGAGGCAGGGAGGAGGCTCAGGGAGGGGCGCGCCCAACTCCCAGCGCCAAAAACGGCCGCGTTCGACCCAAAAAAACACACAAAAAAAGCCGTGGGGTCCCCGCTGTGCCGCCTGTACCTCGTTAAAGAGCAGCTCGCGCCGCTGCTGCTTGCGCAGGTCCATCTTCTTGACGGCCACCAGCTTGCCCGTGCTCTTGATGGTGGCGATGCAGACGATGCCGGTGGAGCCCTCGCCGATCTTGATGAAGTTGTCCAGGTAGCTGCGGGGGTCCCCGGGGTCCACCACCATCTGCAGGGCCGCCCGGAACTGCTCATGGGAGACGCGTTGGGGCTCCCGCTGGGGCGAGCGGGGCTGCTGCTGCTGCTGCTGCTGGGGGGGGGCCGTGGCGGCGGCGGCGGGGGGCTGGCGGGCGAGGTGGGGGTCGGAGGCGTGCGGGGTGAGGCCGGCGGGGGGCTCGGGGCCGCCTTTGGAGCGCGGCGGGCCGGGCGGGGGGGCGCGGGAGGAGCCGCTGGTGCCGCTCACCGGCCCGTTCGATGCCACCTCCTGTGGGCGTCCTGGCCGGTGCTCTGCCTGCGGGGGGGGGGAAAAATGGGAGGAGGGTCTGGGTTAATGCCAAAAGAGGGTCCGGGGGGGGGGATGGTGCAGGATTTGGCCACCGGGCACCGAGCACCGGGTGCTGACGGTGTGGTGAGGACACTGCTGGAGGAAAAGGCGGCGTTGGACGGGCTCGGAAGGAGCAAGGAGAGCGAGGACAGCGGGGAGGAGGCGACCGCAGCGGTGCTGGGGGCTGCTTCCGAGCCCCCCTGGCCCCAAAAAAGGCTGGGGCTGGCACGAGGGAGCCGAGGGGCGACGCTGGCACGGCCCCGGGGAGGAAAAGCACGGAGCAGAGGCAGCTGGCACAGCCCTGGTGGTCTTCGGCACAGGCCAGTCCCCATGGGAGCGGCGCTCGTTTAGGAAGCAGAGGAGAGAGGAGGCTGCTTTTGGAGGAGGAGGAGGGCAGGCAGAGCGAGGAGAAAGAGGAAAAAAAAAAACAAAAACAAAAAAACAACCCCAGCCGGGGGAGGAGAGATCTCTGCCAAGCTCTGCGCGGAGAGGGGGAGTGGGGGGGCCTTTACCTGTGAACCCGCGCCCCTGCCGGGGTCGGTGTCGGCCCGCGGGTAGGTATTAAAGGGGCGTCCCGTCTGCTGAGCCGTCTTCATCACCCCTTCGCTCACCGGGATGTTGGGAGTCCGCATATTGGGCCCCGAGAGCGGGCGCTTGTCGCGGGGGGGCTGCGGGCTGCTGTCGGCGGCGTAGGTGGATTTGGGGCGGCGCTCGCAGGGCTCGGGGCGCTCCCGCCGCACCACGGGCTCGCCGCAGTCCCGGTCGGGGGGTCGGGGGTACTCGGGGGGGGGGCGGGCGGCCCCCGGCGCCCTTGGGGCCGGGCTCCTGGCCGCGGGGCTGCTGCGGGTGGTGGGCGCGCTGCTCCTCCCCGTCCCGGGGTCTCTCCTTGCCCTGCTCTAGCTCGCCGCGGGCGCCGTGGAGCTTCTTGTCCTTGCCCCGGGCGTCGTGCGGGCGGGCAGCGGGGGGGCCCTCGGAGAGGCCGTTCTCCTGGTAGAGGTGGTCGCGGCGGGGCGGGAAGGGGGGGCTGTCCCTGCGCAGAGAATTGGAACGGGACACGGACATGTTCTCAAACTCGTCCAGCAGCCAGCTGAGGGAGCCGTCCTTGGCGGCTTTGGTGCCCCGCACGATGGTCTTTTTTTGTGTGGTTTTTTGTTTTTTTGTTTGTGTGGTTTTTTTTTGGCGCAGGAGGCGGGACGGGATGGCGGGCAGGAACACAAAACACAACAAAAAGAAAAGAAAAAAAAAGAAAAAAAAGGGGAAGAAAATAAAACAAATAAAAATGAAATGCCTGGTGGTGACGGGGACGGGGAGGGGGCGGCTCACACAGACAGGACGAGGGGAGGGGAGGGGAGGGGAGGGGAAGGGACGGGGTTTCTGCCGGCTGGCCTGGATGCTCCCGGTCCATTAAATCACCTCGCAATTAGCAGAGTGCTGTTAATGGGAGCTGGCCGAGCCCCGCAGAGGAAGGGGAGAGCAGCCCTGGCTTCCCCACAGCCTCAGGGCCCGCCCCGCGCTGTCCCGAGCCCTTCCAGGAGGTTTCCAGGTGTCATCAGACCCAAATATCGGGGTCCAGCCCCGGGGAGCGCAGCCTCTACCCCTTTTTTTTCGTGCTCTGGGAGCATCCAGCCAAAGCGGGCCCGTGGCGGGGGCCAGCAGGGCAGAAGGGAGATGCCGGGGACCAAATGAGGGTGACGGGGAGGAAGAGAGGAGCTGGGGCGGGCAGACGAGCCAGACTTTAAAAAACGACGTGACGGCGGCGGGGGGGGAACAGGCACAGGGAGGGGAAGGGGCAGGCACCTTTTGGGGTTTCCTTGTAGGATTTTTGGGTTTCCTTGCAGGACTTTTTTGGTTTTTTTTTTTCCATGAGGGTGAGGACGGGGAGAGGTCGTGGAGACATCCAAAGGACCCGGCGGGTTACAGGGCCCCAGCTGCCACCTTACCTGCTGCGTGGCACCCCGGGAGAGGGGGGGGGGCACAAAACCCAGCCAAATCTGGGCTCCCCGGCCCCGAAAGCCGCCTACCTTCTGCGAGCCGTGCTGGATGGCGGTGATGCAGACGGGGTCCACCAGCGGCTTGGGCCGCTTGGCCGACTCCTCGATGATGCCCTGCCATTGGCGCGGCAGCCCCGTGAACTTCTGCTCCTGCTGGTCGTAGCCCGTGTGGACGCGGTGCTCGAAGTTGGAGGGAGCCGAGATCTCCAGGCGCTTCTTCTTCTTGCTGAACATGGTGGGGCCGCCTACAGGACCTGGGGGGGGATAAAAATGAGGCCCGGAGGAGGACGGAGGCGGGGAGGTGGGAAAGAAGCACCCTGCTCCGTCCCTCCTGCTTTTATTACACGATGGCCCAGCAGCCAAAGCAAACTGGGAGCTTTTTGGGGTTCTGGGAGCACTTCCCGCAGCGTTTTCTGCTGCAACGCGTGGATTTGGGGATTTTTGGGGGGTTTTGTTGTGCAGATGCAGGTCCTGCAGCCTTCAGCACCCCTTGGCGTAGCACCGGGCTGGTCCGGGGTGCCCAAATCGTGCTGCCACCACGGCAGCTTCCCTTCGCTCAGCCCACCTTGATGCAACGCTCCCAAATTTAAGAAGTTGAGCAAAAGCTGCCCGCAGTTACAAGCTGGGAGCCTTCTCGGGCCTTGGGGCCAAGCAAGAAGGGCCCCGAGTGTTTGCTCAGCTGCTCCAGCACCCCGAGGAGCCTCAGATACGCACGGCGAGGCCGCTGGAGCCAAATCTGACACGGCCGTGCCCCTTCCGGGACACCCAGCAGCGGGGAGAAGCCCGTTGGGTGCAGGAAAGGAGCAAAAAAGGAACAAAAAGGGAACAAATCCCCTTCCCCGGGGGTCCCGTCAGGCTGCCGCCCCCCAGCTCGATGTCTGATGCCCCCCCTCGTGTCCAGGGCCGTGGTCCTGAGGTTCTCGGCCCCACAAAAAGCCCTCGGGGTCTGTAGGACGAGGAACAGGAGGGACAAAGCCCGGGGTGGAGGAAGCCAGGCCCCAGGGCGGCCCCCGGGGCGTTTTGTCCCGGTGTAAACACCGGGGGCAGGCACAATGGGGGCCTGTTTACACCCCCGCATCCTGCCCAGCTCCGCGCTTGGGTTTTGATTCTGCCCAGCAGGAGCTCTGGGCGCTGGCGAAACTTTTCCTAAAAGCAACAATTTGCCGTGAGCCAGGCAGCGCCACCTCGGTCCCCACAGCCACCACCTACCTCCGAGCTCCTCCGGACCTCAGCCTGGGAGGGGAAAGGCCGAAATTTTGGGGTGAGGAGATAAAAAAAAAACCACCACCGTGTCGCTGTGCCAAATCCCCCAAGGTTTTCTCATCGTGCCGAGGAAAACGAGCGGCCCCGGGGGGGGCAGAGCCCGGCCAGGTGGGTCCAGGACGGGGAGGCAGAGGGATGGGACCGGCCCCAGGAGGCCCGGCGTCCTCAGGGCTCGGTGGTGGCAGCTTTTTTCCTTTTTTTCCTGCCTTTTTTTTTTTTTTTCCTCCTCGCAGGAGCTGAGGAGCAGGAGGGCGAGCCCCGCGCTGCCCCAACCCGTCCTGCAGGAGCAGCTCGCTCCCAGCACTTCGGGACGCCACCGCACGCACCCAGCGCTTCCAGCACCCCCCCCTTCCCCCCCCCCACACCTCCTGGCAGCGATTTGGGGCCGTTTCCTTCCATTCCGCGGCTCCCCGGCGCCAAACTTCACAGCTCCGGGGGTCGAGCCCTTCCTTCGCGCAGGAAATCGCGGCCCCGGCGCCCGCAGCCACGCTCCCGGCGGGGGATTTGCCTTCCTGCCCCCCCGTTTTCAGGGCTCGGAGCCCCCCGTTGGGCACGGGGGGGGGTTAAAATGGTTGAAATTCCTCCCCGATTTCAAATTTTACCATTTTGAAGGCCCCGCGTGGAGCCCGGCCCCTGTTTTACCCAACCAAACCTCCCCTTGGCCCCAAATCCCGAGCTGCTCGGGGGCGAGCACGCGGCCACCTCGGGGGCTCGTTACCTTAACGAGGTCGGTCCCGGTTCTCCCGGGGGGGGCTTCAGGCCGGGCTCTGGGGCCGGGGCAGCTTCACCTCGCTCCGAGGCGCCGCCGGCTGAAGTCATCCCGGGGCGCGCAGGCGCCGTGCTCCGGCCCCCCCCCAGCCACCTGCGAGCCTCGCGCCGCCCCCCGCCCAGCCCCGGGGGTCCCGGCCATGGCTCTCACCCCACAGAACCCCCCCCCCCCCCCCCCGCGACAAAGAACCCACCCCCCGTGTGACATTTTGGGCAGAAATCCCCTTTCTGGATGAGTTTTAGGGCTTGGCGGGACGCGGTCCCAGCTCGGGGGTCCCTGCCAGGCACCGGGGGTCTTTTTTTTTTGGGGGGGGGGGGGGGAGGGGAGGTAGGGGTTAAATCCAGCTCGCTGCCCCCCCCCTCCAGCCCGGCACATTCCTCACAGCCCAGGTCCCCTGCGCTTTGTTTAATTAGTCAGCCATTAACGAGCGCTGCTGGCAGGCAGGGCAGAGCTCTGCCCTCGCGCCAGCGCCTCCCGAATCCGAGGGGGGGGGCCCGGGGGCAGCTCAGCTCCCGGCTCCAAACCCCCCCCTGCTGCAATTTTGGGAGAGCCCCGAGCACGGAAAGCTCCTGCTCCAGGCGCTTCTGACCTTGCCCGGGCTCCAAAAGTGAAGAAACTTCCCCCCAAAAGCCCCCCCCCCGCGGTGCTCACCCCTCCCCCAAAACCCCACCTGCAGCTCCTTAAAAATAATAATAAAATAAAACCCAACCCCAGCAGGACCCCGCACCGCTCAGCTGCGAGCCCGAGGGGAAGAAAACTGCCTGATAAAACCGAGTGGGGAGGGTGCGGGGACCGAGGCACCCCCTGGAGGGCCTCGTTTTGGGGGAAAAGGGGACAGAAACAGGGTTTGGGGTTCAGGGGAGTCACAAAACTCCCCAGGAAAGTCACAAAATCCCTCAAGAAGCCACAAACTCCCCAGGAAAGGGGAGGCGGCAGCCCCGAGGGGGCGACCCAAGGACCAGGTCCCCGTGGTGTAACGGGAGCTCTAATTACCCTCTTCCAGGGGCTCTAATTACCATATTCCGGGGGCTTTAATTACCATACTCCGGGGGTCGGAGCGTCTCTGTTGGAGGGGGGGCAGGAGGCCGAGCAGCGGGGCTCGGAGGGGTTAAAGCAGCCGGAGCGGAGGAGATTTGAGCCGGGGGGGAGCCAATGAGGCAGCAACGTTTGAACAACTTTTGAAACAAAGCAGCCACTCGAGGGGCAGGACGGAGCCAGCCCCGTTGCAGCCCCTGGCGAGGAGCAGAGAGCCGGCAGCGAGCCCTCGGAGCCCCCCCCCGTCCCCTCTGGGGGCTCAGAGATGTCCCTCAGCCGCCGGCAGGGACCAGCAGCAGCTCAGAAATCTCCAATTTCCAGCTTTTCAGCCCATAAAACCCCGGCAGCCGCAGTCCCAAACTGAGGATGGGGCAGGGGGGCCCCGCTGGAGCTCCCCCCTGGTCCCAGCCCGCTACCAAGGAGCCCATTTTGGCCCTTTACCACTTGGTGCTAATTAAACTCCGAGCTGATTAGGCGGGGCAAGCCTTTAATTAGCCTCTGGCACCGCTGACAGAAATCGCAGCTCACCTGCGAGGAGCGACACGGGGGAAGGAAGAGGGCAGCGAGCGCGGCTCGGGGGAGTTTTGTTGCTGGTTACAGACGGCTCTTCATTAAAACAGGCGTTAATTAATCAGTGTGCATCCCCCGCTCCCGAAACCGGAGCTGGGAACTCGCAGGCAGAGTTATTTTTCTGGGGAGAAACCCCGAGGGTTTGGTTCAAAGGCGCACGGAGCTCTCAGGGTGCTGAGGGCAGTGAGGGGCTCCTTCCCCTGCTCACCCCCACCCCAAAATCCCCCCATAACCCTAAAAATGAACCCCAACGAAGCATAAAATGGGACCACCTGGGGAAAGAGCACGGTTTCTACCCAAAAAGCATCAGCCAGGCCGAGGGAAACTTCCTCAAGAGGCTGCCAGGGCTGGTCCGTGTTTGTCCTGGCAGCACGCTGCTCCTCCTTTGGCCACAGCCCCGATTTTGGGGCTGTCCTGGGGGGGCTGCGTGTCCCCCAAATCCACCCTCTGCTGCTTTTTGTCCTCTTCCAGCTTCCCCCACCCAGCAAACAAAGCCCTGCCGGCCACGGGAGGGCCGAAAACACAGCACAAGGCGTTGATCCCCGGGCAGCCGAGCTCAGCTGAGGGAACAGCTGAGGGAGAGGGCACGGAGTTACGCAAACAAATAAACCCAGAGCCCGAGCCGGGCTGGGAGTGGCGCTTTCTGTTCTCATTCCGTTCAAAGCGGGTGAAATCGACCCGGCGAGGGCCGCCCAGGGCGAGGCAGGGGGGCAGGAAAACGTGGGAGGGCTTAGAGAAACCCAGCCCGGAGCTCCCCACGGCCCCACTCACCTTGAGAGCAGCGGGAGGAAAGCCGGGGGGTGTGAGGAGCCCCAAAAAGCACCCCCAGGACCTTCTGCTCTGATTCTTTATGGAGAAGAAAAAAATCTTTGAGTCTTTGCAACCTGTTGCAACTGCCTGTGGGAGCTCAGCTGGACCCGAGCATGCGGGGAGGAAAGCACCTGGCTGTGCACGCCCCACAGAGCCAAACGAAGGCTCTGGGAGCTTTAAATTTAATATTTCTTCCTTAAAAGCCTCCCAGTGACGGCGCTTTTCCTGATTTTCCTCCCTCGCTTCTGGCCAGCGCTTGGGGAACAGCCCCGGTGGGGCAGGAGGACGCTTTGGGGACGCCACAGCCCGAAAGCATGCGCAGAATTAGTACTTTCGTGATAAAAAAACAACAAAAACCACTCAAAGCAGGGGCAGGACCCGGCTCTGCCTTCCCCCTACCTGCAGCTCCTCACCGCATGCCGGGCCCCGGGTGGGCGACGCTCCTCCAGCGGGCACGGGGCCGCTCAGCTCCCACCGCTCGCCCTGTGGGACGAAACCAGGGCTGATTTGGGGCTGTTTGAGGCAGTTTTGGGGCTGTCTGGGGACCGTTTTGGGGCTGCTTGGGGGTCAAGCGCCTCCCCCTCAGCCCCCCCCCAGGTTCTGGGGCACCCCAACTGCACCCAGGGAGCCCCCCACGCCCCCCACCCACCTCCCCCTGCCCCACTCTGCCCCCATCCTCCCCCCATTTCCCCCATTTTTCCCCTTTCCCCTCACTCCCAGCCCCTTTTTGCCCCCCCCCCAGCCCCCTTCAGTGCGCCCCCCTCCCTACCCCACCCCCGAACCTCCCCCCAAAACCCTCCCGAGCCCCCCCAAAACACCTCCCAAGCCTCTTAAGACCCCTCCCGAGCCCCCCAGGCCCCCCCCGACCCCTCTCACCCCGCCGGGCCCGGCCCCGCCGCTCCCCCCTCACTCGGCCGCCGCCATGTTGTGAGGGCGCCGCAGCCCCAGCCCGCCCCCTCCCGTTGCCTAGGCAACAAGCCCCGCCCCCCCGCAACAACACCCGCCCCCCCGCCAATCACCCGCAGGTCGGGCCCGGCGCAGCCAATCGGTGCATGCTCCGCGAGATTGGCGCTCCCGCCGGCCAATCGGAGAGCGGGGAGGCGGGACGGAGAGAGCCTGAGGGGTGGAGGTGCGAGGTAAAATGGCGGCGGGTGAGGGGCGGGAGGAGCCGCTCCCGGGCCGGCCCCGAGGCGGGATGGGGGGGGCCCGGGGGAGGGCAGGGGGCGGGCGGCGTTAACCGGGTGTCCCCCCACGCAGGCCCCACCGGCGCCGGGTCCCGTAAGATGGCGCTCCGCAATCTGCTGAGGGCCGCGGCCTCCCTGCGCGGCTGCGGTGCGTATCCCCGCCCCCCCCCAGCGCTGCTCGGGGCTCCCCGAGCCGCCCCGCGGCCGCTCGTTTATCCCCCCTTTCCCTCCCCGCAGCTCTCGGGGCGCTGCCCCCCGCTGGGAAGCAGGCAGCAGCCCCGGGCTTGCAGCAGGCCGCCGGCATGGCCACCCTGAACCAGATGCACCGGAAGGGCCGGCCCCCGCCGCCCCCCGTCAAGCTGGGGCCCACCTTCGGGCGGCCGCAGCTGAAGGGGGTGGTGATCAAAACCCTCATCCGCAAGCCCAAGAAGCCCAACTCGGCCAACCGCAAGTGCGCGCGGGTGCGGCTGAGCAACGGCAAGGAGGTGGTGTGCTTCATCCCCGGCGAGGGCCACAACCTGCAGGAGCACCACGTCGTGCTGGTGCAGGGCGGCCGCACGCAGGACCTGCCGGGGGTCAAGCTGACCATCGTGAGGGGCAAGTACGACTGCGCCCACGTCCAGAAGAAGAAGTGAACGGCACTGAGAGACAGCGGGGGGGGGATAACGGGGCCGTTTTTATGCCATTAAAGCCGAGCTCGGGCCCGCCCGGCTGCGCTGCGTGCTCTGTGAGGGGACGGAGAGGGGCGGGAGGGGCTTAAATAGCGGCTGGCCCCGCCTCTTCCGGTATACGGAGGGCCCGCTTCCGGTGCCGGATCCAAGATGGCGGCGCCCAGGGTGCTGCTGGCGGCGGCCCGGCGGGCGGCGGCGGCGGCGGCGGCGACCGGAGGGGGGCGTGGCCGTCGCGCGGCGGGGGGCGTGGCCGCGCCGCCGGGGGGGCGGAGCCGGCTGTACGAGCACGCGCGCGAGGGGCTGAGCGCGCGGCCGCGCCTGGACGTGGAGGCGCTGAGCGGGCACGAGCTGGAGAGGAGGCGGGGCCCGCTGCGGGAGGGAGACCTGAGAGACATCGTGAGAGGGGCGGGGCCTCGGGGTGGGCGGGGCCTGGGGTGGGCGGGGCCTAGGGGTGGGCGGGGCCTGAGGGACATCGTGAGCTGGGTGGGGAGTCGGGGTGGGAGGTGCCTGACGGTGGGCGGGGCTTAGGGGAGTCGGGAGGGGGCGGGGCCTGGGGTGGGCGGGGCTTGTGTCCAGGAGGGGGCGGGGCCTCGAAGAGCAGCGGGTGCTGCCCGGGAGCTCAGGGGGCGGGGCTTGCGGTGTGGGCGTGGCCTGAGAGCTGGCCCCGCCCCCAGCTGCAGACCTGGGCCCGCCTCCGCGAGGTGCGCGCCGCCATCGCCCGCCTCGAGGCCCAGAGGGACGAGGTGGCCCGGGGCGTGCGGGAGCTGGTGGTGAGTGCCCCCAATGTCCCCAAATTGTCCCCAAATGTCCCCGAATTGTCCCCAGATGTCCACAAAGTGTCCCCAAGCAACCCTAAACGTCTCCAATTTGGCCCCAAACTGTCCCCAGATATCCCAAAACTTCACTGAATGTCCCCAGATTGCCCCCAAATATCCAAAAACATCCCCAAACTGTACCCAAATGACCCTAAATGTCCCCAAGTTGTTCCCAAACATTCCAAAACATCCACAAACTGTCCCCAAGTGTCTCCAAATGACTCTAAATTGTCCCAAAATATCCCAAAACATCCCCAAATGTCCTTAAGCGTCCTCAGATTGTCCCCAGATGTTCCCAAATGACACTAAATGTCCCAAATTGTCCAGAAAGTCCCTAAACATCCCCAAACTGACCCCAAACTGTCCCCCAATGTCCCCAAAGTCCCCAAATCATCCTTAAATGTCCCCAAATCATCCTTAAACAACCCCAAATTGTCTCCAAGTGCCCCCAAACCGTCCCCAAACACCCTCAAATTGTCCCCAAATGCCCCCAAACCTCCCCATCCCTCACCCTCTCTCCCCCCCCAGGCCTCCCACGCCAAGGACGCGCTGCAGACGGTAAGACCCCGGGGCTGGGGTGGGGCTGGGGTGTGCCTGGCGCCCACCCCCAGACCCAGCAGTTGGGGTGGAGGGGGGACACGGGACGCTCGTCCCCGTCCCCTGTCCCCCCCCCAGGTCCCCGAATACGCGGCGCTGCGGGCGCGGGGCCGCCAGGTCCGGCTGCAGCTGCAGACGCTGCTGGCGGAGGAGGCGGCGCTGGACGAACGCTTCTACCTCAAGGCGCTGCAGCTCCCCAACCGCACCCACCCCGAGGCGGTGAGCTCCCAAAACCCCCCCGTGTGTCCCCAAACCCCCCTGCCCCCCCCCCCCCCCCCCCCAACACCCCCGCTCCCGGTCTCCTTCCAGCCCGTCGGCGACGAGAGCCAAGCGCGGGTGATGGAGGTGGTGGGAGAGAAGCCAGGTAGGGGGGGAACCTATGGGAGGGAGGGGAATTTTTTTTGGGGGGGGGGAGCATATTGGGGGGTGCAGGGAGGAAGAGGAGGGTCCCGGGGTGATGAAGGCTCCCTCCTGTCCCCGCAGTTTTCGACTTCCAGCCGCGGGGACACCTGGAGCTGGGCGAGGCGCTGGACATCATCCGGCAGCGGTGAGCTCCCCCCCCCTTTTATTACATCCCCCCCCCAAATTCTGGTGACCCCCCCCAGGTGACAGCCCTGTCCCCGTGCCAGGCGCCTGTCCCACGTCTCGGGGCACCGCTCCTACTACCTGTGCGGGGCGGGCGCGCTGCTGCAGCACGCGCTGGTGAGCTTCGTCCTGGCCAAGCTGCTGCCCAAGGTGGGTGACCCCCCCAAAAAAAATCCTTAAATCCCCCCCAAAATCCTAAAATCCCCCCCCAGATCCTAAAATCCCCCCCAACATCCTTAAATCCCCGCCCAGATCCTAAAATCCGCCCCCCAAAATCCTTAAATCTTCCCCCAAAATCCTTAAATCCCCCCCCAGATCCTAAAATCCCCCCCAAAATCCTTAAATCCCCCCCCCCCCCCAAATGCTCCTCTTCTCCTCTTGCTCCAGGGCTTCCTGCCCATGACAGTCCCTGACCTGCTGCGAGGCGCCGTCTTCGTAAGTGCCCCCCCTGGGCTTTTTGGGGTCCTGTCCCCATTCTCAGGGATTTTTGGGGTCCTGCGCCCCCCCAGCACGAAGTGAGACCCCCCCCATGTGTCCTCCCCCCAGGAGGGGTGCGGGATGCAGCTCAACGCCTCCCCCTCGCCCGTTTACGCCATCGACCCCGCACGCTTCGAGGACCTCTGCCTGGCCGGCACCTCTGAGGTGGGGATCGCAGGTGAGAAATGGGGTGAAAAGGGGGGAAAACGGGCAAAAGTGGAGGGAAAATGGGGAAAAGTGGGAAAAAAATGAAAAAATGGGGGGGAAGCGGGGAAAAATGGGGGGGAAATGGAGGGAAAATGGGATAAATGGGGGGAAGTGGGGAAAAATGGGGGGAAATGAGGAAAATTTGGGGCAAAATGGGCCAAACTCCCTGTTTTCCCCCGTCTCTCCCCCCAGGGTACTTCATGGACCACGCGGTGCGGCTGCAGGACATGCCCATAAGGTACGGGGGCTGCGGGGCTGCTCTGCGGGGCCAGGGGAGGCTTTTTTTTTGCCTGCCTGCCCCCCCCCGACCCCTTTTTCCCCCCCCCCACCCCAGGGTCGTCTGCTCCAGCACGTGCTACCGCGCTGAGACCGACACGGGCCGGGAGCCCTGGGGGCTCTACCGCGTGCATCAGTTCACCAAGGTAGGGGCAGGGGGGGATTGGGACCACTGGGGGAGGGCGCTCGGGACCACCGGGGGGGGCGCTCGGGACCGTTCTGCCCCCCCCCCAGGTGGAGATGTTTGGGGTGACGGCGGCCGAGAGCGGGACAGAGAGCGAGGAGCTGCTGGCTGAGTTCGTGGCGCTGCAGAAGGAAATCTTCTCCGAGCTGGGGCTGCATTACCGGTCAGTCTGGGGGGGTCAGGACCAAGGGGGGGGCCCTGTCCGTGTGTGTCCCCCCCCAAAAATACTTCATCCCCCTCCCCGCAGTGTCCTGGACATGCCCACGCAGGAGCTGGGGCTCCCCGCATACCGCAAATTCGACATCGAAGCCTGGATGCCCGGCCGGGGCAAGTACGGGGAGGTGAGAGACGGCAAAGAACCCCTGGGGGGGGGGGGCAAATTACCAAATTACCCTTTTATATTTTAATTACCCCCCCCTTTTTATTTATTTTTAGATCTCCAGCGCCTCCAACTGCACCGACTACCAAAGCCGGCGGCTCAACATCATGTACAGTGACGGGGCCGGGCGGCTGCACCATGCGCACACAGTGGGTGCTGACCCCCCCCTCCGGAGGTTAACCCCCCCCGGGGTTTATGAGCCCCCCCCATCCCTTCACACCCCGTCCTTTGCCCCCCCCAGGTGAATGGCACCGCCTGCGCCGTGGCACGGATGCTCATCGCCCTCCTGGAGTGCAACCAGCAGCCGGTGTGTGGCTGGGGGGGGGGGGACACACAGGCGAATTCTGGGGGGGGCACAGAGCTGAGGGGGGGGGCTAACGCTTCTCTGTCTCTTTGTGCCCCAGGACGGCAGCATTCGTGTGCCCCCCGCCCTGCAGCCCTTCGTGGGCCGCGCCGTGCTCACGCGGCCCCCGGCCCCGCTGCTGCGCTACATCGGCCCCAATCAGCCCGGGGGGGGGCCCCGGGGGGGGGACGCGGAGGAGCCCCCCTCCTCCCCAGGGCGTTAACGAATCCCTCAATTAAACATTTTGTTCCCTCCCCAAGCAATAAAACATTGACAGGCGTTTTCTGGGAACCAGATTTGAGGGGGGGGGGGCAGATGGGGGGGGGGAGCACATGGACCTCCCCCCCTTTTTTTTTTTATTTTATTTTACAACTTTTGATAGAAATCCTCTACGCTACGCCCAAGGAGAAGGGGGGTGGGTGGCGTGGGGGGGGGCATGGGGGGCCCCCCCGAAGTCCAGCCCATGGCTTGGGGGGGGCCCTGATAAATAGGGGGGGGCAGCTGCAGGTCTGGGGGGGCCCCTCAGGTCCGGGGGGGGGCCTCAATCTGCGCAGCGGCCGCTGTTGATGACGATGTCGTCGTATTCCTCCTGGGGGGGGGGACACACAGAACAACGCTCAGCCCCTCCTGCCAAAATTTCGGGGTGCCCCCAGGGGGGCTCAAGCAACATTTTTCGGGGGGGGAGGGGGGGGGAGGACAGGGTGCCCCCCCGTGGGGGGGCTCAGGCAGCTTTTTTGGGGCGGAATGGACACGGTTTCAGGGAGGAGAAGAGGGGGGGGGCCACTCACGCCGCTGCTGTCGCCACCGCCGTCATCATCATCTTCCTCATCCTCCTCCTCCTCCTCCTCCTCACTGTCCTCCGAGTCGCCGGGGGGGTCGGGGGCCCCGAAGGCGCGCAGCAGCTGGGGCAGGCGGGGGTCGGGGCGGTGGCGGGCGCTGTAGAGGGGGGTGCGCCCCCCGTAGCCCCGCGCCGCGGGGTCGGCCCCCGCCCGCAGCAGCAGCTCAGCCAGCTCGGGGCTCTGCGCCTCCACCGCCAGGTGCAGGGGGGTGCGGCCGCAGCTCGGCTCCTTTTTGGGGGGGGATTAAAAAGGGGGGGGGGTCAGGGATGGTGGCGTGACCCCCCCCCGTGTTGTCCCCCCTCCCCGAGCCCCCCCCGTGCTCACCGCTTTGTTGAGGTCGGCGCCGGCGCGCAGCAGCAGCTGCACCAGCTCCAGGTCCTTGCGCAGGATGGCGACGTGCAGGGGGGTGTAACCTGGGGGGGGGGGGGGGGCACGGGGGTGTCACCGGGATGCCCCCCCCTCCCATGTCCCTGTGCCAAACCCCTGCAGTCTTTTCTCTGTCCCCAGCCCCATTTTGTCCCTCTGAACCCCACCCCGTGCCATGTCCTGCGTCCCCCCCCATCCTGTGCCCCCCCCCATGTCCTGTCCCCATCTCGTGTCCCCTCCATATCCCACCTTTTGCCCCCCCCACTTTCCATTTCCCCCGTATTCCCCTCCCACATTCAATTTCTCCCCCCATTTCCCCCCCGTTTATCCCCCCCAGAACCCATTTTCCCCCCCAAAAAATCCCATTTCCCCCCCCCACATCCCATTTTCCCCCCATTTCCGCCCCCACCCCTCCAATTCCCCCACCCCCCACCCCCCCACTAATACCCCGCATTCCCCCCCCACCATCATAATTCACGCTCTCCAGCTGCTCCCGCGTCTCAGGGGCGGGGGGGGTGCGGGGGGGCCCCAGGAGGTGGCGGGCGCAGGCGGGCTGCCCCTCGCGGCAGGCCAGGTGCAGCGCCGTGTGCCCCCCCCGCTCCTGCACCCCCGGCCCCGCGCCCGCCGCCCGCAGCTTGCGCACGAAGCCCGGCAGCCCCAGGATGACGGCGAGGTGCAGAGCGGTCTGGGGGGGGCATAAATAAAAGTTTTTTGTTTTTTTTGGCCTTTTTTATTTTTATTTAGCCCCCCCACTTCATTAAAGGTGCCCCCCAGCCCCGCGCCCGCCGCTTGCACACAAAGGCCAGAAACCCCAGGATGACAGCGAGGTGCAAAGCGGTCTGGGGGTGCCATAAATAAAAAGTTTGGGTTTTTTTTGGCTTTTTTTGTTTTTATTTAACCCCCCCTTCATTAAAGGCGCCCCCCCCAGCCCCGTTACCTGCCCCAGGTCGTTCTGCAGGTCCAGGTAGGCCGTGCCCTCGGTGTGCTGCAGGATGGAGTCCAGGAAGGCCTCGTGCTCATGGATGACGGCGAGGTGCAGGGCCCTAAAAAATATCGGGGGGGGAGCAGGGGGGGTCAGCACGGCCCTAAAATGGGGCAGGGGGAGTGAGCCTAAAAGGGGAGCACCCCAGTCCTACAATGGGAGCCCTGATCCTACAAGGAGGGGCCTGGCCTAAAGTGGGAGGGGGGAAACGGGGGGTGAAATGGGATGTGTTGGGGGGGGCAATGCGGTATGGGGGGGGCACGGGGTGGGATATGGAGGACCCCACAACTGGTCCTAAAGGGGGGGGAGCCGAGCCCTACAAGGGGGGGCAGCCTGATCCTACAAGAGGGGGGCAGCTCTAAAGGGGGGAGGAGCCCCCGGTCCTACAGGGGGGGTCCCGATCTTACGGGGGGGGGCTCCCAATTTTACAAGTGGGGGAGTCCTCGATCTTACAAGAGGGGGGTCCCGATCTTATGAGGGGGTGTCCCAATTTTACAAGGGGGGGCCCTGGTGCTAAAGGAGGGGGTCCCGATCTTATGGGGGGGGTCCCCATTTTACGAGGGGGAGATCCCAGTCTTACAGGAGAGGGTCCCGATCTTATGAGGGGGTGTCCCAGTCTTATGGGGGGGCTCCCAATTTTCCAAGGGGGGGCCCTAAAACCACCCAGGAGGCGCCCCCCAGCCCTAAAACCCACGGACACCTCCCCCCGGCCCCCCCCACCCCCCCCGCCCCCCCTCACGTGTCGCCGTCCTCGCTGACGAAGCTCAGCACGTGCCGCAGCCACGCCTCGGGGTCCGGGGCCGGGGCCGGGGCCTGGTCGGTACCGGGAGGGGGGGCGGAGGAGGCGGGGAGGCCGCCGGGCCCCGCGGCCGGGCCGGGGCTGGGGGGCAGCGGCGCGAGCTGCCCGTCGCCCAGCGAGCCCAGGCCGCTGTCGCACCACTCGTCGCCCTCCGGCCGCTTTCCCCCCTCGCCCGGGGGCGGCGGCGCCGCCGCCTCCGCGGCCGCCATGCGCCGGGGCCGCGCTCAGGCCGCCATGGGCCCCGCGCCGCCGTCCCGGGAAATCCCCGGTAATGGAGGGGGGGAAACGGAGCGCGGGGGGTGCTGGGAGGTGTAGTTCTCCGGGTTCGGCCAATCAGAGCGGCGCGGCGCGGGGGGTGCTGGGAGATGTAGTTCTCGCGTTCGGCCAATCGGTGTTGCGTCACGCGGAGGGGTGGGGGGAGGTGGAGGCCAGCTGAGGGTTTAGCCAATCAGCGCTGCCTCCCGCGCGCGGGGCACACCGGGAGGTGTGGCGGGGGGAATGTGCCAGAGGGGGGTTTAGCCAATCAGCGCTGCTCCCCTTGTGCGCGGAGCACGCTGGGAGGTGTGGCGGCGCGGGGCACGCCGGGAGGTGCCCATGTCGGCCGAGGACGGTAACCGGGGCCTGGGGGAGACGGGGGGGGGGGGGGCCCGGTGGCGGCGCCCCCTGACCCCCCCCCGACCCCCCCCATTCCCCCCCCAGCTCCCGGGGCTGAGGCCGGCGACGAGGCGGAGCCCGAGGGCGGTGCTGCGGGGGAGGCCGAGAGTAAGGGCGGGGAACCGGGGGGGGGAACCGGGGAGGGCACCGGGGGTACCGGGGGGGAACCGGGGGGGGACCGGGGGTTTTTAACGGAGCCCCCCCCCCCCCCCCCCAGTGGAGCTGCTGCGGAGCCTCCTGGCGCGGACGCTGGGGCTGGGCTCGGAGCCGGGGGAGCGGGTCCTGGACGAGCTGTCGCTGCCCGGCGTGGCCCGGTTCATGCGCAGCGAGCGGTGCCGCCGCGTGGTCTGCATGGTGGGGGCCGGCATCTCCACCGGTAAAGGGGACGGGGGGGAACGGGGGGGTAAAGGGGTCTGGGGGGGGGGGGAATGGGGGGGTAGCGGGGGGATAATGGGGCTGGGGTTGGGTAATGGGGGAGTAATGGGGCCTGGTAGGGGGTAATGGGGGGTAAATGGGGGATAACGGGGCTGGGGGGTGAGTAATGGGGAAGTAATGGGGCCTGGGGGGGGTATGGGGGGGATAATGAGGGGGTAACAGGGATGGGGACGGGGTGATGGGGGGGTAACAGGACCAGGGAGGGGGTAACTGGGGGGTTAACGGGGCCGGGGGGGTGGCTGACATCCCCCCCCGTCCCGTCCCCCCCCCCCGCAGCCGCCGGGATCCCCGATTTCCGCTCCCCGGGCACGGGGCTGTACGCCAACCTGGCGCGCTACGAGCTGCCCTACCCCGAGGCCATCTTCGACATCTCCTACTTCAAGGTGTGCTCGGCGGGGGGGGGGGACACTTAAAGAACCCCCCCCCAGCGTCCTGACACCCCCACGGTACCCTGAGCCCCCCCCAGGACCCTGACACCCCCTCCCCATCTCCCCCAGGAGCACCCGGAGCCTTTCTTCGCCCTGGCCAAGGAGCTGCTTCCCGGGCAGCTCAAGGTAAGAAAAGGATCCTGGTGGGGGGGGGTCACTCACCACCCCCCCACTGAATTCTGTGCCCCCCCTTAAATCCTGCCCCCCCCCAGCCCACCGTCTGCCACTACTTCATGCGCCTGCTGAAGGAGAAGGGGCTGCTGCTGCGCTGCTACACCCAGGTGGGCGCCCCAAAACATTTTCTGTGCCTCCCCCAGCTCTAATTACCCCCCCCAGGCTCTAAATGCCCCCCCCCCCCGCTGTGAACGCCACCCCCTCGCCCCCAGAACATCGACACCCTGGAGCGGGTGGCGGGGCTGGAGCCCGAGGAGCTGGTGGAGGCGCACGGCACCTTCCACACCTCGCACTGCACGCGGGCCTCCTGCCGCCAGCCCTACGGCCTGTCCTGGATGAAAGGTAACCACAGGCCTGGGGGGGCTGCGGGGGGGCTCCCTGCGCTGCCCCCCCCTCAAAAAAAAAAAAAAAAAAGAGAGTTTTTCCACCACCCCTCCCAACACCGCAGAGCGCATCCTCTCGTCCCTCGTCCCCAAGTGCGAGAAGTGCCAGGGCGTGGTGAAGCCAGGTGAGGGGGGGCATTAAAATTTTAAAATTTAAAATATTTTTAAAATAAATTTTTAATTTTAATTAATTAAAACTTAAAATTTTAATTGGGGGGACACCACATGTGTTGTTCACCCCCCCTCGTTGTTTTTCTCCCCCCCCCCCAGACATCGTGTTCTTTGGCGAGAGCCTCCCCTCGCGCTTCTTCACGCTGCTGCAGTCGGTGAGAGCTTTGGGGGGGGGTCACGGGGAAAAGGGGGGGGTCACAGGGTGAGGGGGGGGGCGTTGGGCGTGGGGGGGCCACAGCCTCACCCCCTGTCCCCCCCCAGGACTTCCAGAAGGTTGACCTGCTCCTCATCATGGGCACCTCGCTGCAGGTCCAGCCCTTTGCCTCCCTCGTCAGCAGGTCGTGTTCCCCCCCCCGTGTCACTGTCCTCCCCCCATGTCATTGTCCCCCCCCCCCTTGCCCTCTGCCCCCTCACTTGCCCCCTTCTCGCCCCCCCCAGGGTCCCCGCCAGCACCCCCCGGCTCCTCATCAACAAGGAGAAGACGGGGCAGGTGAGTGTGGGGGAGGGCAAATGGGGGGGTGGTGCAATTATTAATGCCCCCCCATCCTATTTTTCTTGTCCCCCCCCCCACCAGAGCGACCCTCTCATGTCCCTGATGGGTTTTGGCTGTGGGATGGACTTCGACTCGGACAAAGCCTACAGGTGGGAGGAGGGGCTGGGGGAGTCAGTTTGTGCCCCCCCCCCGCGTGTATGGGGGGGGCTGCACCCTATTAACACCCCCACACACCCCAAAAATTAAATCCCCCCCCCAGGGACGTGGCCTGGCTGGGGGACTGCGACCAAGGCTGCCTGGAGCTGGCGGAGCTGCTGGGCTGGAAGGTACCCAAAAATGGGGCTGGGGGGTTCCCAAAATTCGAGGGGGGGGCCGCTCACACCCTGTCCCCCCAGGAGGAGCTGCAGGATCTGGTGAGGAAGGAGCACGCCGCCATCGATGCCAAGGCCCGGGGGGGGCGAAGAAAAAAGCCGGGGGGAGCCTCCAAAAAGCCGGGGGGAGCCCCAAAAAAGCCGGGGAGGGGCCCAAAAAAGCCGGGGGGGGCAACGAGGAGGGGCGGGGGGGGAGCGAGCCCCCCGGGGGGAGTGCGGCCCCCCCGCCCTAAGGGGGTGGGGGGCAGTAAAGGGACGCACTTCAGCCCAATTGTCTGTGGTGATTTTTTTTGGGGGGGGGAATTTAGGGGTGGGGGGGCACTGGGAGGAACTGGAGGGCACTGGGAGGCACTGGGGGGTACTGGAGGAACTGGGCTCCAGCCATGGGGGGTCTCAGCCCCTTTTGGGGGGCTCTGAGGGGGCCCCAATTGGCGTGGGGGGGGCACTGGGGGGGGTCCCAGAATTTTGAGGAAGGTTCCAGAAGTTTTGGGGGTCCTGGGGGTCTCGGTCAGCCCCTGTGGAGGGGGCCCATGGGCTGGGGGGGGTCCGAGCACCTTTTGGGGGCTCTGGAGGGGGTTCAAGCCACTTGGGGGGGGGGTCTCAGAACTTTTTGGGGTGATTGGAGCACTTTTGGGGGGATTCCAGCACTTTTTGGGGTGATTTGAGGAGTTTTGGGGCTCAGGGGGCCCAACCGCCTCCTGAGGGGCTCTGAGGGCTTCTGCGCCCCCTCAGGGGTCCCGCCGTAGCCCGGGCGGTGGGCAGGACTAGCGCTGAGGGGTGCATCCAATCAGAAGTGAAGGCTGAGGGAGCTGGCCAATCCCAGAGGGAGTTCGAGTTGATAGGCAGCTGGGTTGGCCAATAACGTTCGAGCCCGCTTGCGCGCCCTGGGGTTGTCCCCGAGGGAGAGCCCGAAGGCGTCGTGAGAGGCAAGAGTGGCAGCCAATCGGAGCCAAGGGCTATTGATGGGCGTTCCGCTCGGCCAATAGCCTGGCGAGCCTCTGCCGAAAGGCCTTCTGGGAGACTCAGAGAGTCGGGAAGAAGAAGGCGGAGCCTCGGCGCACGGCCGTGAAGATGGGCGGGGCGCATCCCCGACGGACACCCCCCGCAGCCAACCAGCTCGGTGGGCGGGCGAACGGACGCGCGGCCCGGCCAATCAGACGCGCCCGGCGCGCTGACAGCCAGGAGCGCCGCCGAGCCCAATCGCGGCGGTGGGCGGGCCGGCGGCCGGGCGGGCCAATGAGGCGCCGGCCCCGCCTGAGTGGCGGCGGCGCCGCCCAATAGGGGCGGGGCGGAGGCGGCGCGGCGGAGCGAGGCGCCATGTCGCGGCGGCGGTGGCGGGGCCCGCAGAGCGCCGAGGGCGGCGGGCGCGGGGCCGACATGGGCAAAATGGCGGCGGGCGGCGGCGGCGGCGGCTCGGGCCGCTACTACGGCGGGGGGGGCGGCGGAGACGGCGGGCGGGCCCCCAAGCGCCAGAAGACCGAGAACGCCGAGCCCCCGCCGCACGGCCCGGGGGGGCCGGGGGGGGGCGGCGGCGGAGGGCCCGGGGCGGCCGGAGCGGTGAGGGGGGGGGGGGGGGAGGATGAGGAGGGTCTGGGGAGGGAGATGGGGGGGAGGAGGGAGGAAGAAGAGGAGGGGAAGGGAGGGGGGAGGATGAGGAGGGAGAGGGGAAGGGGAGAAGAAGAGGAGGGGAGGGGGGAGGAAGATTGGGGGGAGGAGGAGGAGGATGGGAGGAAGAGGAAGGGGAGGAGGAGGAGGGGGGAGGAAGAAGAGGGTGGGAGAAGGAGGAGGAAGAGCAGGAAGAGGAGGGGGGAAGAGGAGAGGGGAGTGGGGAGGAAGAAGAGGAGGAGGGAGGATGAAAAAGAGGAGGGGAGGAAGGAAAGAGGGGGAGAGGGGGAGGAAGAGGAGAGGAGGGGGAGAAGGAGAGGGAGGGAGGAAGAGGAGGATGAGGAGGGGATGAAGGACAGGAGGAGGGGGCGCACGGGGTGCAGGGCCCGCTGTGGGGTCACCGCTCCCTGCCCACTGCAAGGATTTTGGGGGGGGTTCCCAGGGCCCACCCCCACCCAGAGCAGGGCCCTGACCCCCCCCCCGTGCTGCCCCCCCAGGAGAACTACGACGACCCCCACAAGACGCCGGCCTCCCCCGTGGTGCACATCCGCGGGCTGATCGACGGCGTGGTGGAGGCCGACCTGGTGGAGGCCCTGCAGGAGTTCGGCCCCATCAGGTGAGGAAACCCCCCCGGAGGGGGATGGGGTGGGGGTTGGGACCCCCAAAAAAAACAAGATGGGGCAGGGATTGAAACCCTAAAAAACGCCAAGATGGGGCAGGGATTGAGATCCCAAATAAACCCAAGATGGGGCAGGGATTTAGACTGCCAAAAAAAGCCAATATTTGGGCAGGGATTGGGACCCCAAAAAATCCAATATTTGGGCAGGAATTGGGACCCCAAATAAAGTTAAGATGGGGCAGGGTTTGGGATCCCCCCAAAAAACCAAGATGGGGCAGGGATTGGGACCCAAAAAAACACCAAGAACAGGTAAGGATTGAGACCCAAAAAAAAAAACTGGATGGGACAGGGATTGGGACCTTAAAAAAAACAATATTCGGGCAGGGATCGAGATCCAAAAAAAGGCAATATGGGGCAGGGTTTAGGACCGCCCAAAAAGCCAAGGGGGGGGCAGGAATTGGGGCTCCCCCCGCCCCGCTGAGCCCACCCCATGTCCCCGCAGCTACGTGGTGGTGATGCCGAAGAAGAGGCAGGCGCTGGTGGAGTTTGAGGATATTTTGGGGGCCTGCAACGCCGTCAACTACGCGGCCGACAACCAGATCTACATCGCCGGGCACCCCGCCTTCGTCAACTACTCCACCAGCCAGAAGATCTCGCGCCCGGGCGACGCCGACGACTCGCGGGGGGTCAACAACGTGCTGCTCTTCACCATCCTCAACCCCATCTACTCCATCACCACGGTGCGGGGGGTTTGGGGGATTTTGGGGGGGGTTGGGGGGTGGTGGGACCGTGGGGAATGCGTCCTGAGGGGGTGCTGAGGGGTCTGGTCTTGAGCCTGATGACCCTTGGTTTTGGTGCTGGGGGTGTGTGGCTCGTTGTGCTGGGGGGGGGATTTGGGGGTCCTGGGAGGGATTTAGTGGGTGCTGGAGGCTATTTGATGGGTCCTAGGGGCAATTTGGAGGTTCTGGGAGGGATTTTGGGGGTCTTGGAGGTAATTTGGGGGTCCTGAGAGGGATTTGGTGGGTTCTGGGAGGGATTTTTGTGGTCCTGGGAGGGATTTAGGGGGTCCTGGGGAGGGATTTTGAGGATCCTGGAGGTAATTTTGGGCTCCTGAGAGGGATTTAGGGGGTCCCGGGGGCAATTTGTTGGGTCCTGGGGGCAACTTGGAGGTCCTGGGAGGGATTTGGGGACCCAGGAGGGATTTGGGGGTCACGGGGGAGGTTTGGGGGTCCTGGAGGCAGCCCCCTCACCGTGCCCCCCCCGCAGGACGTGCTGTACACCATCTGCAACCCGTGCGGCCCCGTGCAGAGGATCGTCATCTTCCGCAAGAACGGCGTGCAGGCCATGGTGGAATATCCTTCCCTGCCATTTTTTGGTTGGGGGGGGGGGCAGAGCATCCATTCGGGCTCCCCCCGCGCTGCCGGTTGCCTTAAACCCACCTTTTTGGCCCCAAATTCCTTAACGCCCCCCACGTTCGACTCGGTGCAGAGCGCGCAGCGCGCCAAGGCGTCCCTCAACGGGGCCGACATCTACTCGGGGTGCTGCACGCTGAAGATCGAGTACGCCAAGGTCAGGCCCCCCCAAACCTCCCCCCCAAACCCTCCCCAACCCCCCCGGGACCCCCCCAGGGCCTTTTTTCACCCCCCCCCTTGTCCCTCTGTCCGCAGCCCACGCGCCTCAACGTCTTCAAGAACGACCAGGACACGTGGGACTACACCAACCCCAACCTGAGCGGCCAAGGTAATCCCCGCCGGCCCGGGCACAGCCCTCACGGCCCCCCCCTCGTCCCGACGTTCCCCGTGTCCCCCCCCCGGCCGTGCCCGAGGGGAAAAAACTGCCCCAGTTCCCATCCCCAGGGTTTGTAGGGGGGGCTTGTCCCGTGCGTCGCCCGTTGGGGTTAAGGCGAGCGGGGGGGCTCGGGGCTTTTTGTTTTCTCGCTCATTTTTGAGGAGTCTCTGGTCGTGGGGGGGGGGAGGGGGGAACCAGAGGGGGGGGCACTGGCTCCTGGGAGATTTCCCAGGGTGAATGCTGCCCAGAAACACCCCCCCCATCCTGGGGGTCCCTCCTGGTGCCTCCTGGGGCTGTCGGCCTCGCAGCGGGGGTGGCGGGCGCGGGTGGGGGGGGTCCCTTCTTTTTCCCCCCCCACTCCCCTCCTCCCGTTTTTAAGCGGCGGAAGTCCCGAGCTGCCTCCGCACACTGCTCACACCACCACACAGTGTAGCACCACCAAGGCAAAAGTAAGCAAAAAAAAACAACAACAGAGCAAACAAAAAAACAAAACAAGACAAAAACAAAGACAGAAAACAAAGAAAGACAAAAAACAAAGACAAAACAAAGACAGAAAAAGACAAACAAAGACAAACAGAGACAAAAACAAAGACAAACAAAGACAAAAAAGCCAAAAACACCTCCCTGGAGGCAACACGCAGCATCCAGAGCCCAGCAGCACCCAGTGCAGCAAGGACGCCAGGACAAGCCGCAGCGCAGAGGCAGAGGCGCCGCGCGCCCCCCCGGCAGCCACCTCTCACAAAACCAAGGCACACCGAGCCCGAGGCGCCACACACGCCTAGGAAACACGGCCCCGAGGCTCCCCGGCACACGGCGCTCGCTCTGGCGGAGAACGGAGGAGCTCCGGGGCCCTCCCGAGACTTAGGATGGCGCGGGGGGGGCGGCGGCTCCTTGGCTGGTCCCGCGGTCCTCAGCGCGCCGCCCGCCGTCGCCAGCGCCGAGCGGAGGAGAAATAAAGCCCAAAAGCCCGGTGAGCCCCCCGGGGCGGGGCGCACACAGACAGAGCCCTGAGAGGCCGTAGCTGGGCCCTGGCTCACAGAGGAGACACGCACACCGCCAGCAGGACACCGACACCGCACACCACACGGAGGAACACTGCCCCTCACCACCCCGCAGCCGGTGCCCGAGGTACCCGGGGGACCCTCGCCTCGCCACGGGGCCCGGCTCACGCAGGACGAGCTCCCCTTCCTCTCGGAGGACCTGGCTTGGCTTGCAGGATGGCGGGTGGCTCAGGCTGTGGAGAGCATGGCGGGGTGTGAAAGACTCATTTTTGGCTGCTTTGGTTGGTTTTTGGAAAAAAAAAGAGGCTCTTTGAAAGCCGTCAGGTTCTCCCGGAGAGCCCGGGTTCTAGAGGAGCTCTGGCTCTAGACGGGCTCAAGTTGTAGATGAGCTTGGGTTCTAGAGGAGCTCGGGTTCTAGAGCTCAGGTTCTAGACGAGCTCTGCTTCTAGAAGAGCTTGGGTTCTAGACGAGCTCTGGTTCTAGAGCAGCTCAGGTTCTAGAAGAGCTTGGATTCTAGAGGAGCTCTGGTTCTAGAGCAGCTCAGGTTCTAGAGCAGCCCGGTTTTTCCCAGCTTTGGGTTGAGGTTTCCAGAAGAGCCGAGCTTTTTCAAGCGACCGCAGCCTGTTTTTAACCACTCCGCCGGCGTTTTTTTGGATAGAGACTTGGCTTTTTTTCCCGTTTTTTTTTTTTTAATTTTCAAGAGACTTTGCTTTTTTATTTTTTAAATTCTGTAAGCGAATTGTTAGCGGTGCCGTGCCTCTTGACCTGTGTTTGTGACGCTGAAACCATGTGATGCAGGGTCGCAGTGTTTGTTTGGTGGGCCGCCATCTTTCACAACTGTGCTAACTCACTCTTGACGCGTCCAATGGTAAGAGAAAAGAGCGCGTTTCTCCCCGGCGCGGGGCCCCCCCCCGCTGTAAGTAGCCCCCCCCGCGCCCCCGCGGGGGGCTCGCGCCGGCCCCGCAGCAGGCGAAGGGAGGAGAAGAGCGACCCCCAGCGCGCCCCCACGGCTCCTCTGCCCGAGCCCCCCCTCCCCAAGCCCTTTGTCGGGGGGGGGGACGCGCACACGTCCTGGCCTCGTGGTTTCGGTTCCTTTCTGTACGTTCGTTTTGTTCGTTTTTGTTTTTTTTATTGTTTTATTTTTAATTTTTTGATCGATGGATTACCAAAGGCAAGCGGGGGCGGCCCGGAGCTGGGGGCCCCGGGGGTGATTTTTGGGGGTGGTGGTGGGGGAAATTTGGGGCCGGGGGGGGGGGCACCAGCGGGGTGGGGGGAGTGGGGAGAGGGCTCAGACCCTCGGTTTTGGGGAGGGGGGGGACACAAAATGCCTCCAAGAGCTGCTTGGGGACCTCCTCCAAAAAAAAAAGCCTCCAGGGTGGTGCCAGGCACTCAGAGGGGGGGGACCCCGGAGCTGCGTCCCCCCCCTCCCCGTGACGCTGGTGCCCCCCCTCTGCTTCCCCCCTCCCCGCGCAGGCGAGCCCGGCGGCAACCCCAGCAAGAGGCAGCGGCAGCCCCCCCTCCTCGGGGACCACCCAGCGGAGTACGGTAAGGCCTGGGGCACCGGGGGGGAGGGGGTCACAATGAGGGGGGGGCACCGGCGTGGGTCCCAACCCTTTCTCCGTGCCCCCCCCTCATGCAGGAGGCCCCCATGGCGGCTACCACGGGCACTACCACGACGAGGGCTACGGCCCCCCCCCGCCCCACTACGAAGGCCGGAGGATGGGACCCCCCGTGGGGGGGCACCGCCGGGGTCCCAGCCGCTACGGCCCCCAGTACGGGCACCCGCCCCCCCCGCCACCCCCCCCCGAGTACGGCCCCCACGCCGACAGCCCCGTGCTGATGGTTTACGGCCTGGACCAGTCCAAGATGAACTGCGACCGCGTCTTCAACATCTTCTGCCTCTACGGCAACGTGGAGAAGGTGAGCGCCCCCCCGAGCGGCATTTTGGGGCTAAAAACCCCTAAAATGGCTCATTTCCAGGCTTTTTTCCCCAGGTGAAGTTCATGAAGAGCAAGCCGGGCGCGGCGATGGTGGAGATGGCCGACGGCTACGCCGTGGACCGCGCCATCACGCACCTCAACAACAACTTCATGTTCGGGCAGAAACTCAACGTCTGGTGGGTCTGGGGGCTCCGGGGGGGCTCTGGGGGGGGGGAACGGGGCAGTGCTGACCCCCCCCCCGTGTCCCCGCAGCGTCTCGAAGCAGCAGGCCATCATGCCCGGGCAGTCGTACGGGCTGGAGGACGGCTCGTGCAGCTACAAGGATTTCAGCGGCTCGCGCAACAACCGCTTCTCCACGCCCGAGCAGGCGGCCAAGAACAGGATCCAGCACCCCAGCAACGTGCTGCACTTCTTCAACGCCCCCCTGGAGGTGACCGAGGACAACTTCTACGAGGTGAGCCTTCCTCCTCCTCCTCCTCCTCCTCCCCCCCCCGGCGCTTTTTGGGGCCGGATCCCTCCCGTTTGGGTCTTTCTGACGCAATTTCGGCCTCCCGCAGATCTGCGACGAGCTGGGCGTCAAGCGGCCGTCCTCCGTCAAGGTGTTTTCGGGGAAGAGTAAGTGCGGGAGGGCAGGGAGCGGCCCCGCGGGTGCTCCCTGCCCCGTCGGGGGGCCCCCCGGTTTGGGGGGGGGGCCGGGACGGGGGCGGCACGGCCGCCCGCAGCCGCCGGGCTGAGGAAGGGGCACTCGTCCGCAGGCGAGCGCAGCTCCTCGGGGCTGCTCGAGTGGGAGTCCAAGAGCGACGCCCTGGAGACCCTCGGCTTCCTCAACCACTACCAGATGAAGAACCCCAGTAAGTGGCCGCGGGGGGGGCAAAGCAGCCCCCACCTTGCCTTTATTTAACCTGAGAGGCCCCCAAGTTCCCCCACTTCGCCTTTAACCCGAAACGCCCTCAGATTCACACAGATCACCTTTATTTAACCCAAAACACCCCCAAATTCCCCCAATTCAGCTTTATTTAACCCAAACCACCTTGAAGCCCCCCCACTCCCCCCCATTCACCCCAAAACCCCCCAAATCCCCCCCCCCCGTTTACCCCACTTCCCCTCTATTTACTCCAAACCACCCCCAGGCCCCCCAATGCCCCTTTTTTTTACCCCAACCCACCCCAAAGCCCCCCAAATGACCCCCCATTCACCCCGAGTCCCCCTCATTCACCCTGAATCCCCCCACATTCATCCCGAATCCCCCCAAATCCCCCCCATTTACCCTGAATTTCCCCCTAAACCCCCAAAATCCCCCCATTCACCCCAAATACCCCCCTAAATACCCCCCCATTCACCCCAACCCCCCCCGTTTCCCCGTGCCCCCCCTGACGCTGTGTTTCCCCGCAGACGGGCCGTACCCCTACACGCTCAAGCTCTGCTTCTCCACGGCGCAGCACGCCTCCTAAGCGGCCCCCCCGCGGGGCCCCCCCGCCCCCCCTCGGTTTGGTTCATTTTCCTTTTTTTTTTTAAAAAAACAAACAAAAACAATAAAGCCAAGTGGAGCAGAGGCCACCCGCGGCGGTGCCCCCCCCTCCCCCCTTTTTATTTTCTCTCCTCCCCCCCCCCCTTTTCCCTTTTTTCCCCCCATTTTTAAGGACGAATGTGCGTGTGCCCCCCCCCGTCCCCCCCCCGCCGCCGGGGCCCGCGGCGCCTTTCAATAAACGTTTGGAAAACGTCGCTGCCTCCCCCTGGGGGCCGGGGGGAGAGGGGGGTGAGGGCAGGGCCCCCCCCCCCAAATTTTGGGGGTCCTTTTTGTTGAGGGTGGGGGGGTTGTGGGCACCTGGAAGGGGGTTAGGGGGAACCTGGAGGGGGGGGGGGAGGTTTGGGGGCACCCCAGCGCTGCAGCCTTTGGGGTAGGGGGCTCGGGGCGGGGTAGAGGGGGAGCCCCGGGGGTGGGGGCGGCTCCCGGTGCCCCCCCCCGATCCGAGGGGGCACCGGGTTCGGGGGGGGGGAACGGGGAAAAGGCGGCGCTTCCGTGTCGGGGGGAAGGAGGAGTGAAGCTGCTTCCGGTCTGCCGCGGGGCGCTTCCGCCCGGCCGGGGGTGGCGCTCTGTGCCTCCAACTCGCTGACCTCGGGGCCTGGAGGACTCCGCGGATGGCGGCGCTGGCTGCGGGGCTGCGGGGGGGACGTGAGTGGGGGGGGGGGGGCGGCCGGGAACCCCCCACGGGACCCCCCCCCGAGCCCCTGGCCCGGCCAGGAGCCCCCCGGACCCCCCGGGAACCCCCAGGATCTGCGACACCCCCCTTGACCCCTCCCCCAGTGCCCCCAGTCCCGTCCCAGTGCTCCCCAGTACCCCCCCAATTCTTCCAGTACCCCCCCAGTTGCCCCCAGTCGCTCCCCAGTGTCTCCGTCCCCCCCCCCCCAGCGGGTCCCAGTGTGCCCCCCAGTTCACCCAGTGCCGCCCAGCCCTCTCCCAGTGCCCCCCAGCCCCCTTCCCATTACACCCCAGTCCCTCCCCAGTGCCCACAGTCCCATCCCTGTTCCCCCCAGTCGCTCCCCAGTGCCCCCTGTCACCCCCCCCAGTGCGCCCCAGTTCCCCCAGTCCCATCCCAGTGCCTCCCAGCCCCCTCCCACTCCCCCAACCCCTTCCCATTGCCCCCCAGTTCCCCCCAGTCCCTCCCCAGCCCCTCCCTTACCCCCCCACCCCCCCCAGCTCTCCGTCTGTTGGCCCGGCCGATGGCGTCGCAGGCGGTGGCGGGGGGGGGGGGCGCCCCCAACCCCCCCCCAGGAGCGCCCCTTTGAGACCCTGCGCGTGACCCCCCCCCGCGAGCATGTTCTGCACGTGGAGCTGCACCGCCCCGACAAGCGCAACGCCATGAACACCGCCTTCTGGAGGTACTGCCCCCCCCGGGGGTCTATCTGCCCCCCTCGGGGGTCTATCTACCCCCAAGGGTTTATCTGCCCCCCCCGAGGTCTATCTGCCCCCCCCGGGGGTTGTTTACCCCCCCAGGGAGATGGTGGAGTGCTTCCAGGGCATTGCCCAGGACCCCTCCTGCCGCGCCGTCGTCATCTCGGGGGCCGGGAAGATCTTCACGGCAGGTGGGGGCCCCCCCCCCCCGTTATTGGGTGACCCCCTTTCATTGGGTGCCCCCCAACTTCGTTGGGTGCCCCCCCCCAACGTTGGGTGCCCCCGTTTAATGGGGACTCTTCTCCTTTCATTGGGTGCCCCCCCTCTTATTTGGGTGCCCCCCCCACCCCCCTGTTGGGTGCCCCCCCCCCAATCTACAGGACCTCCCCAATCTCCAGGACCCCCCCCCCAGCAGTTTTGGGGCCGTTTTGCCTGATTTAGGGGATCTCAGCAGCGGGGCCATGCTCAAACCCAGCTTGGGGGGGGGGGAGAAGGGAAGGGGGGAGTCTGGGGGGGCTCGGGGAGGGGTCGGGCCCCCCCTGAACCCCTCGGGGGGGTGTGGGGGGGTGGTGCCCCCCCAGGGATCGACCTGGTGGAGATGGGCAGCGAGTTCCTGGCGGTGGGGGGCGAGGACGCGGCGCGCAGAGCCTGGCAGCTGCAGCAGAAGATCCGCCAGTACCAGGAGAGCTTCTCGGTGCTGGAGAAGGTGGGAGCCCCCCCGGGACCCCCCCGGCCCCAACCCCCACCCCCCCCATCCCCTAATCCCCCCCCATCTCCCCTGCAGTGCCCCAAGCCGGTGATCGCAGCCGTGCACGGAGCCTGCATCGGGGCAGGTGAGTGGGGACACGGGGTGGGGGGGGGACACAGGGTTGGGGGGGACACACGGGGCTGGGGGGGCCCCCCTGTGGACCCCGGGGTCTTTTTTTCGGCAGGCGTCGACCTCATCTCCGCCTGTGACATCCGCTACTGCACCGAGGACGCCTGGTTCCAGGTGAAGGTGGGTGCGGGGGGGCCCTGGGGTGGCCCCGGGGACCCCCCCCCCCAATTGGCCCTGGGGACCTTCAGCCATCTCCTGGTGGCCCTCGGATGTCCCCGTGCCACCCCCTGTGTCCCCATGGTGTCCCCAGGCCATCCCACATGTCCCCGTGGTGTCCCCATCATGTCCCCTCACCTCCCCGTCCCCGCAGGAGGTGGACATTGGGCTGGCGGCTGACGTGGGGACCCTGCAGCGCCTCCCGAAGATCGTGGGCAACCAGAGGTGAGGGGAGGGGTTGGGGGGGGGACACAAACCCCAGACGGGGACCTTGTGGGGACCCCATGTCACCCCCCCCATGTCCCCCCCCAGCCTCGTCAACGAGCTGGCCTTCACCGCCCGCAAGATGATGGCCCCCGAGGCGTGGAGCTGCGGCCTGGTGAGGTGAGGGGCGGCCCCGGGGGGCGGCTGGGGGCACGGTGGGGGGGCCCCACACTGTCTCCGGCCTTGTTCCCGACCCCATCCCCATCCTGTCCCTGTCCCCATCCTCATCCCCATCCCCACCCCATCCCAATCCCGATCCCAATCCCATCCCCGTCCCATCCCCATCCCCTCCCAATCCCAATCCCAATCCCAATCCCAATCCCAATCCAATCCCACCCACCCCGCTCTCCCCCCAGCCGCGTGTTCCCGGACCGGGCGGCGTTGCTGCAGGGCGCCCTGGAGCTGGCGGCCTCCATCGCGGCGCGCAGCCCGGTGGCCGTGCAGGGCACCAAGGTGAACCTGCTGTACTCGCGGGACCACCCCGTCCCCGAAGGGCTCCGCTTCATGGTGAGGCGCCCCCCCAGACCCCCCCCCCCCGGTCCCCCCAAAACCCCGTCCCCCTGACCCCATCCCCGTGCCCAGGCCGCCTGGAACATGAGCATGCTGCAGACCGACGACATCCTCAAGTCGGCGCAGGCGGCCATGGAGAAGAAGCGCCCCGAGGACGTCGCCTACGCCAAGCTGTAGGGGCGGCTGTGGGGTCGGCGCGGCCCCCACCCCATAATAAACCCGGCTGCGCCCCCGGCCCGTGTCCTTCCTCGGCCCCGAGGGGTGCTGCAGTGGGGTCCTGTGGGGTGGATGGGGGCGCAGAGAGGGTGGATAGGGACAGGGTGACCCAGTGGGACATGGGACGGGGTTATGGGGCCACAAATGGGAGGTGTATGGGGACACTGAGGGGGCTGTGGGGACAGTGCGGGGTTTATGGGGTCCCAAAGGGGGTTTATGGGGCACGGAGGTGTTTATGGAGACAGATGGGTGGATTTAGGATCCCACAGAGGGTGCAGGGGGCTTCATGGGGCCCCAAAGGGTGGGTACGTGGTGACACGGCCGTGGCTGTTGGGATTCGGGGCTTTAGCGGGTCCCAAAGGGCAGGGACGTGATGACATGGAGCTGTTTGAGGGGAAAAGTGGCGTTTATTGGGTCCAAAGGCTGGGTTTATGGCGGCACAGTGGTGTTTACTGGGACGGACTGGTGCTTATCAGATCCCAGAAGGGGGTTACGTGGGGACACAGCGGTGCCCCTTGGGATTTGGGGCCCCCAATGGGGGTGTAAGGGGGACAGGGAGGCGTTTTTGGGGGGAATGGGGCAAGGAAGCTGCGTGAGGCCAGGTCTGAGCAATCTTTTAATTACATGAGAAAAAGAGAAACCGGCCGGAGAATGCTGCGAGGTGAAGATAAATTTATACAATAAATCCCGAAATCCGTCCCTTCGCAAAGGAAACCGGCACCTGCTGGGGGGCGCTGCCGTGGGAACAGATCAGCTTCTGTGTGCGGGGGTGGTTTTTTTTTTTTTTCATTTTTTTTCTTTTTTTTTTCTTAATTTTGGTCCTCAGAAAAACCTGCTCCAAGGCTGGAGGGTGGGGGGGGTGTAAAAGGGGAGGGGGGGGGAACCGGCGCTGCCTCCGCACCCCCAAAGTGGTCCCATGGGGGGGAGGAATGCTGGGGGGGGGGAGCGGAAGGAGCAGCCCCCCCGGGGGCTTCCCCTGGCTCTGAACAGGAATCGGAGGAATTCGAGCAGAGGGCGAGGGGAAGCCGGGGGGGGGGGGGAACCTGGAGGGGGGTGGAAACACGTGGCGAAGGGCGGCTGGTGCAGAGGGGGGGGGATTTCTGCTCGACAGAGGCATAAATTAAAGAGAGGCAGGGCAGGAGGGGGGGGCTCTGCTTCCTACAGAGGGGGGGGGACAGCAGAGGGCCCTGGGCCAGTTGGAAAAAAAAAAAAAAAAAACACCAGAAAGGGATAAAATTAGAAAAAAATTAATAACCGTCTGAGCTGCTGGGCACTTCGAGGCTCCCCGCTGCCCCCCCACACACAGAGAAACCCCGAGCGCCCCCCCCGGAGCAAAAAGAGGGAAGAGGGGGAGGCAAAAAAAATAAAATTAAACAAAACCCCCCAAAAATCATTGCATAGGTCAGGTGGGCAACAACCGGCTCCCCCCCGGCCGCGGCTTCGTGCCTGTGTGAGTGTGTGTGTGTCCCTGGGAGGGGGGGAGGGAGGATAAAATTGGGGAGGGGGGGGACAAAGCGCCCGCGCTTGGTGCAGCCGCGGCGGCCTCAGAGGTCGCTCTCGCCGTAGAGCGCGGTGGAGAAGGATTTGTAGTCCAGGGCGCCCGGCGCCGCGTCGGGGCCGCGGTACGGGGCCATGCGGGCGATGCAGTACTCGGCCTGCTCGGGGGGCAGCTCGCGCCGCAGCTCCTCGGCCGTGATGTAGTTCTGGAGGGGGGGGGGAAAAAGGTGAGAAAAGGGGGGAGCGGCCACGAGGAGGGCCCCCCCCGGGGCTAGGGGAGGGGGCGGCGCTCACCTTGTCGCCCGCCAGGACCTTGAAGGAGGCGATGACCTGGTCGGCCGTGTCGGTGTCGGTGGTCTCGCGGGACATGAAGTCGATGAAGGCCTGGAAGGTGACGCTGCCGCTGCCGTTGGGGTCCACCAGGCTCATGATGCGGTTGAATTCGGCGTCGCCCTGCACGGGGGGGGAGGCTGCGGTCAGGGGGGGGTCGGCCACGGAGCCCCCCCACCACCCACCACTGAGTCCCCGGGCTGGAGGCTGAGCCCTGCCCCGGTTTTAGGCTCCGGGGGGGTCTCCTTGTGCCCCCCAGCCCCTTCCCCGAGCCCTGGGGGCTCGCAGCGATGAGAAGAAGACCAGAAAGGGACGGGGGGGGGGAAATAAAAGGGAGAAGAGAGCAGAGAGCGTTACCAGGCTGCATCCCGCGGAGATAAGGAGAGCTCGGAAGTCATCCGCGTCCGTGCTTCCCGTGCGCTTCTACTCCCCGAGGAGGAGGAGGAGGAGGAGGAGGAGGAAGAGAGGAGGAGGAGAGGAGGAGGAAGGCAGAGACGGGCAGCGCGTGCAGAGGAGGAGGAGGAGGAGGAGGAGGGAGGAAGACGCGGCAGGGCAGGGGCAGGAGGGGAGAGAGGCAGAGATCGAGTTAACGGCGGCAGTTCGGGCGCCGGCACAGCAGGCAGGGAAAGGAAAACCCAGCACGGACACAGGAGCAGGGGAGGAAGAGGAGGAAGAGGAGGAAGACCACGGAGGAGGGGAGGAAGAGCGGGAGGAGGGTGGGGAGGGGGGCGCGGGCCGGGCTCGGTACCTGTCTGTCGTTCTCCACGTCGTAGCCCAGGCTGATGAGGCAGGCTTTGAACTCCTCCGGGCCCAGGGCACCGCCGTGGTCCTGCACCGGGGGGGTCCCAGCATCACGGGGGGGGCGTTGGAGGAGGAAGAGGAGCAGGGGGGGAGGGAAAGATGCCGTTAGTGGGGTGGGGGGGGGCTGAGAGCAGGGCTCTGCTCCCCCCACCACATCAGAGCAGGGAAAAGGAACCCCGGGGGTCTCGCTCCTCTGGGGGAGCAGCAGGGGGTGGGGGACGGGGAGCCCCCCGTCAGCCCCCGGGGGGGTTGGCAGCCGAGCTCTGCCCCCCAGGGGGAGGTTTTGGCAGCAGGGGGGGGCTGGGGGCTGCGGGCACCTTGTCGAAGTGGTTGAAGGACGCCCGGAACTCCTGCATCTGCTCCTGGCTGATGCCCTTGGCGTCGCGGGTCAGGATCTGGTTCTCCACCTCGTTGATGGTGCGGGCGATGGTGGTGAGGAGCTGCTCCCAGCCCACGCGGATGTGCTATGAGGGGGGGGCACAGCGGGGTGAGAACGGCCTTGGGGGGGGGGTCCCAGCACGCCACGAAGCCGGCACCCCCGGCGGGACGCCGTTACCGCGGCCGCCACGGGGAGGTGCAGGGGCTGGGAGCTGCCGAGCCCTGAGTCACCGCTCCCTGGCGCTGACGGGGCACCCTTGGGTGGCACCGGGCACACCCAGCTCCATGCCCCAGGCCGGGGGGGGCGGGGGGGGGCGCACCCACCTCCATGGTGTAGTTGGTGTGCTTGTTGTCGAAGATGAGCGCCTCCTGGATGAGCTGGTGCTGCTGCTCCAGCAGGTCGATGTTGGGCTTGTAGTCCACGATGCTCTGCTCGTACTGCTTCAGGTGGTTCAGCTGGTCCTCCAGCGTGCCGTTCATCTCGATGGAGATGCGCCCGATCTCCTGGGGGGGGGGGGGCACAAAAACCAGCAGGGTGAGGTGGGGGGGACACGAGGAGCCGCTCCGCAGGGACCCCTGGCACTGCCGGTGCCGGGCTGATCTCCCCGAGGGATTCCTCTCAGGTTTTTTCACCCCTGCTGAAGGTGGTCTCAGCACGGCGGCTCTGCCCTCCCCAGCCCCCCCGGCTCTGTCTCGAGCCCCCCAGGGTCAAGGGCACGGCCCCAGGCCCTCACCTCCATCTTGGTCTGGATCCAGGGCCCCACGATGTTGGCCTGGCTGGCGAACTGCCGCCGGAGGTGCTCGTTGGACTGCTGCTTGCTCTGCTCATCGAGCAGCGCGTGGTCCCGCTTGGGCACCAGCTGCTGGACCTGTGAGGGGCGAGGGGGCAGCGCTGGGAACCCCCCCCGGGGGGCAGGGACCGGCCCGAGGCGGCAGCCCCGTCCCCGGGGGGGTCACTCACCCGCTCCCACTTGGAGTTGATGATCTGGGGGGTGACGGAGGTGTAGGGGTTGTTGCCCCCCAGCTTGATGCTGTTGAAGTCGGCGATGCGCTGCGCCTCGCGCTGGATGCCCAGGATGGCCTCGCGCTCCTTGTCGGCGTCGGGCAGGGTGGACTTGAACTGGTCGTGGGCGGCGATGAGGCCCTGCGGGACGCGGACACCAGCTCAGAGGCAGCTCCGGGGGGGTCGCAGCCGAGCAGCGAGGCGCCCCCCGCGCCCCCCCACCTCGATCTCCTCGATGGTGTGGACGATGAACATGTCCTGCAGGTCCTCCATGGCGCTCTCCATCCAGTTGTTGAAGGGAGCCGCCCTCTTGGCGTACTCCAGGTGCAGCTCGTCGATCGTCTCCAGCTGCTTCTCCGTTTTCTGCGGGGCCGGGGGGGCGTCAGGAGGCTGGGGGGAGACCCCTGGGGGGGTCCCGGCCCCCGCCCTACCTCCAGAGCCTCCCTCCTGCTGTGGGTCAGGGAGCCCAGCACGTCCCACTGGTCGCAGATCTTCTGGCACCGCGCGTTGACGCTGGGCGAGTCGTAGTAATCCAGCTCGCTTTTTTTGGGAGGGGGGGGAAATAAAGCAGGGTCAGGATGTGAGGACACGGAGGTGGCCATCCCCACACCTCGGGGACGGGCTGGGCACCCCCTCCCTGCCCCATTTCCAGGAGGGGGCTCTGGGGCTGGGAAAAAGCCCCCCCGGGGGGCACGGGGAAGCCACGGGGAATAAGGGCGGCATTGACGGCGGCGCCCTGCCCCGGGCCCTCAGTGTACTAATTGTGTGCGAGTTTATCTGGCTGGGAAGGGGAAAAAAAAGGAAAAAAAAGGCGAGGGGGGGGGGGTGAAAAAAAAAAAAAAAGGGCAAGGAGCCGGGCTGCCTGGCCGCACGCACAATAACGGTATTCTGCGCCGCGAGGGGGAAGGGACGGGCAGAACAATAGGGGCACTGTGCGGGGCCGGGGCCGTGCCGAGGTGTGCCGTGGGCCAGGTTTTGGGGCCGGGGGGCTCGGCGGGGCCGGGGGGGCTCGGCGGGGGCTCGTCGGGAGCCGTCCGTACTTGAGCTCCTGCGCGATGGCCGCGATCTGCTCCACGCGGTCCTGGTGGGCGGCCAGGTCGCTCTCGAAGGCCTCGTGCTTCCTGATCAGGGCCTTGATGTCGGACAGCGTGGCGCTCTCGTAGTCCTTCTGCTTCAGCATCGCCTCCTTGCCTGCGGGGGGGGGACACAGCGCTGGGACCCCCCCTCCCAGCACACCCAGGCACAGCCCCTGCCCACACCGGGGGCTGCTTTGGCTCCCAGAAGCACGGGTGGGGGGCAGAGGCTGAGCTCTGCTGGCCCCACCGGGGGCTTCCTCCACTTTCTTTGCCTACTGCCTCGATTTTTGTGCCCCCCCCCCGGGAAATAAACCGAGCTGGCACCACTGTGAGAGGCCTTGCGATGCCCCCAGGCTCGCTGCTGCTCCCAGCCCGAGCTGTGAGAACGGGGCTGGGAAGGGATTAACGTGTTTGCTACGGGGGGGGGGCACAGCTGCTGCCCCGGGGGGGTCATGGAGGGGGGGGACAGCGGCCAAATTTGTCCAGCTGGGTGCAACGGGGGACGTGTGAGCACACCAGCCTCTGGAGGAGGACAGCGATGGGCTCGGCGCTCCCAGCAGCACGGGGAGGCTTTAGGGAGGCTGAGCCCCGTTTTTGGGGGGCTCCTCTGCCCTGAGGGGGGGGGCTGGGACCCCTTGGACCCCCCCCCGGGGACCTACCCTCGGTCCAGGCCTCGTGGATGGAGGCTTTCTGCCGGAACTTCTCGGCCAGGTGGTCGAGGCGCTCCAGGCGCCGGATCTCGTTGAGCAGCCACTCCTCGTAGCCCTTCTCCGCCTGCTCCAGGTGCTGCCAGCCGTTATTGATGTCCTGGGGGGGTCACACACACACGGGGGGGGGACAAAAACACACGGAGGGGGGTGTCAGGGCAGGCTGAGCGAGCCTCCCACCTCCACAGCTCCACGGAGAGGGGGAACCCGACCCCAAACCCCCCTTTGGGAGCAGCCCCAGGTCCCGCGGCAGCACCCAGCGGGACGGGGGCGTCCCGGGGGGGGGTCCCGGAGCTCGGCACCCCCCGGGCACTCACCGCCACCATCCTCCCCTCGGAGGGCATGAAGGCGGGCCGGTTGCTGAGGCGCAGCTTGGTCTGCAGGGTGTTGAAGTTGATCTCCAGCTGGCACTTCTCCTGCACCTTGGGGGGTTTGTGCACGCGCCGGTAGTCGCGGAAATCCTCCAGCTTCTGCTGCATCTCCTGGATGGTTTTCTGCGGGCTGCGGTCCTCCAGCCAGGGGATGGTGCGCCGGATCCACTCCAGCAGCTGGGGGGGGGGGAAACGGGGTCGGTGAGCGGGGCTGGGGGGTGTGGGGGCTGTGGGGAGCCCCCCCGGGTGCCCCCCGTGCTCACGTCGGAGGCGAGCTTCTCGTAGTCCTCCATCAGGTGCTCGTTCTCCTGGTTGACGGCCAGCACCTTGCAGATTCGGTTCGCCGCCGTCTCGGCCTGCAGGGGAAGAGCAGAGGTGAGGGGGGGGCTCCGGGACCACCGGGTCAGGGTGCCCCCACCCGCAGAAACCCCCCTGCAGCGCCCCAGCTCTGCCCTGCAGCACACAGCGGTGCCACCCCGCTGCTGGCTTTGTGGAAGAGCCAAATCCACACTTTTTAGCACCAAAGTGAACAACCATTGCCCACGCCGAGCCCCCCCAGCTGTAAGCAGAGCCCGGTGCGCCCCCCAACCCCCAGCAGAAGCCCCCCTCCACCACCCCGGGGGCTCCGGCACCGCACAGAGCAGGGCAAAACCCCGGCATCGCCCCTCGTGGTTTATGGGGGGGGCAGAACCGGAGCCCCCCGGGGGGGTCCCACGAGCTGGGCACGAAGCAGGCGCCGGGGGCTGCGGCAGCCGCAAGCCCCGGGCACTTTTTGGTGCTTGGTTCCCCTGGCAGTGCCCCGGGGGGGGGGGCGTTAGCAGCCTCCAAGCACCCCCACGGCCTCCAAGCACCCCTCCAGCCTCGTTACCGGCCTCTGGGCACCGTCCTGGGGTCTTCTGCTCGTCCCCGCGGGCAGCCCCCCCGCCAGGAGCACCGGGCTGAGGCAGAAAAGGAAACCCGGGGCACGGGAAAGGGTCCGGGAAGAGGAGGCGGAGGCCAGGCACCGACAGAAAGAGTGAGGAGGGTCTACGGGGAGGGGGGGGGGACGGGGAGAGGAGAAAAACAACAAAAAAACAAAAAAAAAAGAGAGCTGGGGAAAAGGAGGCGGAAAACTTAAGGCTAAAAGGAGAGGAAAAAGCTCAGCCAAGCCTCGGGGGAGAGGCGCGAGGTGCCCACGGCGGCCACGGGTCCGCGTGCTGGCCAAGCAGCCCCCCCCCGAGCCACCCAGGAGGCTCATTTGGTCGCCCGAAGCCTCTAATTAGTGCGGCGTGGTTAATTGCTGGCCTGCCCCGAGCTCCACAGCGGCGGCGTTTCGGGTCTGACACGAAATCTGAGGCTTGGAGGGCGAGGAGGGAAAGGGAAGCGAGAGCGAGGGAGGCGGCGGGCTCCAAGCCCTGCTCTAACGAGGCTCCTTCGTTAAGCGGGGCCCTTAATGAGGCTGGGGGCCGGCTGCCCCTTCCCCAAGCCCTGCTGCCTCACGGGGAGGTGGATTTACACCACCTCTCCCTGTGGGTTCCCCAAATTTTGGTGCCTGGCGCCCCGAGGCCGCCTGGAAGCTGTGCAGCAGCCGCGGGAGGTGCGGGGTTAGCGGGGCGGCCCCCTCCCCAAAAGCCAAGCTCACCTTCTGCGCCCCCGAGAAAGCGTGGTAGAAGCAGGAAACGTAAGTCATGATGGCCTTCTCATCGGGCCTGAGAGTGCCAACAATATCTGCGCGGGGGGAGAGAGGGGGGACAGAGGCTGAAGGAGCGGCCCCGCAGCCCCCGGAGCGTGCGGCGGAGAGAGCAGCAAGCGCCTGGTGCTGGCCCCGGGGCTCCTCGGGGAGCCTGGGGGGGCTCGGCGCTGGGCCCAGCAGGGCAGGCAGCACGAGGAGGTTTCACACCCGAGCGAGCCGAGGGCGGGGTCCCAGAGCAGCGGGGGGGCTGAAAGAGAAGGGCCCGAGCGCGGGCGGGAGCCTCGGGGGGGCCGGCGGCCGCCGCCGGTACCTTCTGCGCCCCCGAAAAGGCATGGTAGAAGCTGGACACATAGGTCATGATGGCCTTCTCGTCGGGCCGGGCCGTGTTCACAATGTCTGCAAGCGAACCAGAGGGGTTAAGGCTGGGGGGGGGCGCGGCGGCGGCGGCACGGAGCCGCTCAGCACGCCGGGCTCGGTCCTCCCCGGGCTGGGGTCCCGGAGAGCGGCCGCCTCGGGGCACCTGCAGGGGCACAACGGGAGTGAAACCGTCCCGAAACGCTGCACGGCCCCGGGCTGGGGGCAGCTCGCGTCCTCTGCCCCCAAAAGGAGGGGTCTGGGGGTCCGGGGGTCTTCTCTCGGTGCTGCTCCGTGCCCAAAGTCCCCGCGCCGCAGCCCCCCGGGCCGCTTACCCTCGGCGTCCAGCATCTTGGGGATGTCCAGGTACTTCTCCGCCACCTCGAAGGCGTTGTTCAGGTTGGTCACGGGGTCGTCCTGGGGAGGGAAAAACGCTGGGGGGGCGCCCGGGGCTGCTGGCTGACGGCACGGTGGTGGGGAGGGGAAGGGGGCTGGGGGGTGGGGAGGGGGCTGAGCACTGGGGAGGGGGCCGAACTTCACCTTCCTCAGCTTGTCGTACTCGATGAGCTCCGGCCGGTGCCTGTGGATCAGGGCGTTGAAGGCGAGGCCGTCCTTCCAGCTGCGAGGGGGGAGAGCGAGGGGGGGGTCAGCACCGCGCCCCCCAGGGACCCTCACCCACCCCCCTGCTCCCCCTGAACTGGCAGCGGGGCCCCTCTGATCCCCCGGAGCCCCCCAAAT